TTCAACCTGTTGAAAAGCAAATCAACGTTCAGTTAATGTTGTTGGTGATGGTGTATGTAAATGTATGATCGACTGTATTCATTAATGTAAAACGTTTTGAGAAAGTCATCGGATATACCGTTGGTTAAAGCATCAGTAAAGTCGTTGCTGTTATTGAGGGAAAGGTTAATGTGTTGTTGATATCATCGGCAATTGCATCAGGATACTCGTAGATGGCCGAATTGTTTGGGGGATAAAGTATCGGTAATGTTGTCGGTATAATAGTCAGTAAAGATGTTGATGGTTTGTGGTAATGGCAATATCGTATACCAACTCGTAGGTAAATTCGTAGACATATTCGTTGCACCGACGCACAATGCAGATGTAGAAGTGCATGGAATAACGTCAACAGTTTGAATGATAGGTGAAGTCTACCGGGAAATGTATCAACAAAGTCGTTGCATCAGCAAACCTGTAGCCTTCGCCAGACGCCCGGGGCGCTCAGGGCGCTCAGGGCGCTCGGTAGGTAAACTACCTCTCCAGAGATACCGCCAGTGCTCCTGGCGAGGTCTGGCGCACATTATTCCGCCCCAGCGCACACTAGTCCGCACAACGGGCCCCGACACTAAATAATAGCGCCCGGTGTAACTAGGACGTCACTCTACCCGCTAGAGAACGCCAGTTGCACGGTTGGATATCCTGACTGCTCCTGGAGCACTCTTCACTGCTCCAGCGGGCTCTGGGGATAGAATGATTGCCCTGACTCCCCCTGACGTTGCCGGATGGGGTGCTTTGAAATCTGGCTCATGCCCGACGTACCGATTCCTACATGTCGGCGCCCCGTTCTCTCTAGGCATACACCTCTCCGCCGTTCCGGCCTCTGGTATTCACAATTCCCCCATGAGATTACAAAAACATCACTCGCACGACGATCTCTACTGTCTCCAGAGCACTCGCGACTGCACTTTGAGAATTGGTGTATTCAACACCGTGATCCTCCGCCTAATACTAAATACAATACGCCATTTAACACCCTAACTAACCCTAATACAATATACGAATCAGAAGAAATCCCCCACTATCTCCCTTAGCACTCGTGATTGTTCTACACATCCTCCTCCCCCCCCCCTTCGTAATCCCCCGCTACAGGTAATTCCGGCTCTTCTTCTTCCTCCTCCCCCTCCTCTTCGGTGTCAATGCCGCGAAGTCGGGCATTAATCACTTCGTCCTGGGCGCTGTCGGAATCAACCCGACCTCCTGGAGCACTCGTGGGTGTTCTCCGAGCATCTCGGAATGCGGCAAGATCCGCAGCCAGAGCTTCATCGTCCTCGCTAAAACCCTCCTCCGGTATAATCTCAATCGTTACCCCTTTTTTATCTCGTATCTATTAGGGTTAGCATTTAGAATACCACTCGCATTACCGGCATCTAGAAGTATCATACCTTTTCTCGAAGGTTATCTTTGATTACCTCCAAGGTTGCCTCCTGGTTCTGTTTACTTCTCCCCTTCCAAGTGTTGCTCATCCTGTTGAACGTTTCTACTCGTGTTTGGATGTCAGCTTGGCAATCCCGTATAGCCCTAGGAGCATCCGTCATTGCTCCCAAGGCACTCGCCATATCAATGAGGGCATCGGGCCATACTTACTCACAACACTCTCATTCTGCGACTGAAAATTATCAGGCTTCACGTAACTCCCTGTTGACCACGCCCGAATGCCGTGCCAGATCGCCGTCGATATCAGGCAAATAAGGGTAGGGGTTATCCGCTCTAGAAATTCGGGATCCCTAACCCCTCGCATTCTTACCCCATCGAAGTATTTAAAATACAATATATCGATAATTTCCGGAGCCAGGAAGCGCAGTCGGTAGGTCTAGAATCTGTTACCGGCTATCCCGAGTGCTCTCTGGGCATCCACTGGCATCATACCTCGTAATGCTGTTGGGGGCTCAAGAAACGATCATTCTTCAAAAGGTATTCCACTTGAGCCGCCCTCGCCTCAGGCCCCACAAAATTTCCAAGCCCGTATATCGTAGAGTCCGCCAGGCGCCCTTTCACCTCGTGCATCAAGTGGGAACGGACACGGGAGTGCAGACTTCTGACCTATCATTCTCAATTATGCTTCCAGAGCACTCGTAATCCTTTTGGGGGCACTCACCTGTTTAATAACGACCTCATCAAGGTCTACTCTACACCCCACTCGGCGACTAGCAGTTGCCCACATGCTCACTACCAGTACCGAAAGTCTTGCTGCAGGTGGAAAGGGCTCATGTAGAAGAGTATGCTCCCCGATTAACACGCTACACTCCTTCTCAATCCTCTGAGCCTGCACTGACAGCACATTTGCACTCCTAGAGTTAGGGACCACAGACCTCTGAGTCAATTGGCTCGAAGGAATGTCGCCAGTGTTCTCAAAGACGTCGTGAGTGTCCTCCGGAATACTAACCTCGCTTCCCGGAATCAAAATACCCTCGCTTTCCGGCATCGGAGTACTCTCGTCCTCCTCCCTAGATGAGGGAAGGTACTCGATTTCGTAGACTCTTCGCGATCTACCTTGACCGTGAAGTTGGCTTGAAGGAATCTGACGACTGCTCACAGAGTTCTCGCCAATTACCTCGCTAGGCGGTGAAGAACGATATGTCCGGTAAGTGGAGGACGACTCCCCGTATCGAGAGCGCATCGAGGAAAAATCGATATGGCGCGTAGAAGAGGTATACTCATGAGCATAAACAGGTGCAGAGGGCCTAGACTGTGAGGGTGTTGGGGGTGCTCTCTGGGATGCCGGGAGTGCTCTCTGGGATGCATTCTGGCTGGGTGCTGAAGTGGGTGCTGCTCTCCCTTGACCTTGTTTACGTATTACTTTCGCGCCCGGTCGAGTTCCCCTCTGAATCGTTAGCCACTAATACTTACATGTTAAAAAGCATCAATGAGCGAGATAGAGTCGAACCTGTACCACGTCCACCGACACGTTGGAAGAAGCAATGACCTCCGCTACCGCGCCAGTCGGTTTCCTCCGAGCATTGCCCAGTGCTCTGGCAGTAGTCGGCTGAACTGTATGAGGTCTCTTTCCGACAGTCTGAGACTTCTGGGTGTAAGATGGGGGGGGGGCTTGAGGTTCATCCTCCGGTTCATCCTCATCCTCCTCAGAGCTCTCGTGGTCATTCTCCGGAGCATCATCATAGTCTGAGTGGCTAGTATCAACAGTTTCTTCCACCTCTGGCGCCTCAATTGCCTCAGGCTCCTCCTGCGCTTCAAAATTATCAGTATGGTCCTCGGGGAGATGAAATTCTACCCTCCTAGGACTGCTCCTCCCAGTGGGGGTTTCGGAGGAACGGAGAAGACCTTTCCGAGTTATTTGAGCGGCGGTGGTCGATTGACTACTCCGAGTGCGGGCTGGCAGTGGAGTCAATGTTCGGTAAGATATTTCAGACTCGTCAGTCAGTAAATCTTCATGTTCTTCAGGTCGTTTTGGGAGTCGTGGGCGCTTTGGGGCAAGAGGTGCTGAACCGGAGGAGCGCTTGGTGGGAGCCATTCTGATGACTGGCAGGAATATCCGCAGTGCTCTAGGAGCACTCGCGATATCTTCGATTAGAAATCAATTCTTGGCGAGAAAATTTGCGCCGCTAATCAAGAAAAATTTGCACCGCTAATCCTCTTACGGCAGGGATCATCCTATGTTACCACAATTTCTGCACTCAACCGCATCATTTATCATCACTCGTTTTACTGCACTTTCTGAAGCGGTACCGAGTGCTCTGAGAGCAATCTAGGAGTTTGATTCGACTTTGAAATAAAAGCAATGCAATTACTACCTGGAATAATCTAATCTAATCTAATCTAATCCTATCCGATATAACCCATCCATTGATATACTCTCGCAAGACAAAGGGAAATCCAAAACACCAAATCGTACCGCACCTCAATAGCTATCGCGAGTGCTCAGGGAGTAATCCTAACAACTATTAAAAGGTTAGTGACAATTCCGCAGGAAGGGAAGTTAGAGATTATACCAAAGGGAACTAATGATGCCCACCACCATCACCACCATCACCACCACCACCATCACCACCGCCTCCAGCTGGCCCACCACCACCATCACCACCGCCTCCAGCTGGCCCACCACCACCACCACCACCGCCTCCAGCTGGTCCTCCACCACCACCGCCGCCCGGAGGAGGAGGAGGTCCGCCCGGAGGCGGTGGAGGTCCTAGACCACCACCACCACCACCACCACCACCACCACCACCACCACCACCACCACCACCACCACCACCACCACCACCACCACCACCACCTCCACCACCACCACCTCCACCACCACCACCTCCACCACCTCCACCACCACCACCTCCACCACCACCACCACCACCTCCAGCACCAGCAGCCGCGAGTGCGTCAGCAGCTCTCTTGGCTGCTATCCCGGCAGGTGTCCAGATCGTCCCCTGTAAGAAGTTTGGGTCAGCAACCCCGACACCCAAAGGATACTTCCTAAGGTATTTGGGGTCTAAATCGTCGATAGCATCCTGCTGTCTATCGCGACGCCTAACAAGAGTCTGAATTAGCCTTTGATTACTGGCATCAGTTCTAGGCATATATACCCTCAGTCCTTTGGCATTTATCCGGTGCTTTCCCTCCTCGTAATCCGAATCCTCTGCAGGAATATCGATCATGCTATAATCATCTTCCTCAACGTGAGGGAAAGCCGGGTTCAACGGGGGGGATTCCGCACCACCCAGGTTAGCACCCGCGCCTGCTCTGTGGAGGACCGCCAATATCCTCCGAGGCCTGGCATTGCTGTTCTTCAACCAACCTTCGAGCTCCTCTGAATCGGTAATTTGTACCTCCACCGGCCGAACGGGAGGAACAGCTGCCGGGGGGACATTCTCAATTGCCCCCCAGATAGTCCTGACTGCTCTGCCGGGTGCGGTGTGCTTCAGGATCAAGTTGCATAGCTCGGGGAAAGTTATCTTGGTCAAAATTCCGATGAACGAAGGTTCGTTCAGGGGATCATTCCAGTCATAAGTAGGTGGTGGGACGAGCATAAAGAATGCCCCTAGAGCATCGGGGTCCACCACGGTAACCATTATGGAAGGTCGCACGAGTTCCGGAGGTACTGCACGCTCTTTCCCTTTGCGAGAGCGTCTTCCGGCTGCCTGACCACCGCCGTCATCATCATCATCACTATCACCGGCAGCCTCTTTGAACTGACGGTCTCCCTGTCCCCTTGATAACCTATCCTTCATACCAACATCTGCGATGAGCCACTGTAGAGCACTCGCCAGTGCTCTACGGGCATCGGAGTCACCCCCAATCCAAATTGGCAGAAAACCGTTGAGGGAGGGCAAGTTCATCAAGTAAAGGCATAGGGCATTGAACGCAGCCATACCGGACGTGCTTTTATTGACCCAACCCACATTTTGCATTTCCGCCTTTAGGCTGTTGCGGATGCTGGTGTACACTTTAGGTAGGTTGAGTAGACCTAAAGTCATCTTCGCTTTGCTTGCTTGAGTCATCTTGAATGCGGTCGAGCTCGGGGATGTCTCTTGAATACTCGGGGATGTCTCTTGAACACTCGGGGATGTCTCTTGGACAATCGGCGATGGCTCGGGTCTAATTCGTCTCTGTCGTACTGGTGAGGGGTGGTCTATTAGTTCGGACGGGCTTGCACTAGAAAATAACCGAGAGGGGCGTCGGGGCTTGAATGTAGGGGTCTCCGGTGCAAGAACCTTCGGTGGAGCACTGACGGGTGCTGGTGAGGGAGTAGTAGAGCCTGCTGGGCCTGTTGAGCGGCCTGTTGCTGGGCCTGTTGAGCGGACTGCACTAGACTTGGACCGAGTGAGAACTTGACTTGGGACTATGGTCTCCCGGGCAACGTTCTTTTGTGGAGCACTAGCGGGTGCTGGTGGGGTAGCACTAACCCTAAGTACGGTCGTCCGTACAAGGGCCTCTGGTGAAGCACTGCTGCGTGCTGAGGAAGCAGTGGAGACTGCTGCTAGTGGGCCTGTTGCTGGACCTGTTGCTGGGTCTTGATCGTCACTTATGTATGGTTCAGAGGGTTCGGAACTAAAGTCGGGAAAGGAGTCGGAATCAGTTAGGGTTGCTCCCCAGTTACTCGGGAAGATCCCTTCAGTGTCCGATGGAGCTAGGTTAGTATTTGGCGGAGTCCGGGTTTCAGTCCGGATTGGTGGAGGTACAGGGTTTTGTTTTCGGCTCTTGTTGATCGGGGTGAACCCGGAAAGCACTGGCGACTGCTTAGGGGGTGTTTCTGGTATCTCCTCCGGGATAGGCTTGACAGTTTTGCGGGACGATTTGCGACCTGAGGAAGTTCGGTGTTTCTTATGTTTTCGGGACGATTTGTGTTTCTTGGTTTTTCGGTGGGTCTTTTCGTTATCGTCTTCGTCTATGTCACGCAAGCGCTTCTTATTGGGAAGTTGATTTGTGTTCTGTGAGCTACCGGGAGTTCTCTGAGCGGTGTTTGGAGTCTGATAATGTTAATGTATCACTGTGGTGAGTATGGTTCTAAAATTAATTGGATTAGGAGAGAGAAATACCATCTTATTTATAAAGATTGCAAAGGTTAAATCGCTTGAAAACGGAGGAACTTGAAGGATGAGATTTCAACAGGTAATGTTGAAAGCAATGGAAAACTTGAAGTGATAGGTAGAGGAGAACTTGAAGGTGGTTAGGAACTTCTCACGAACTTGAAGGAAGGGAGGGGTGCTCTTATACCGAGTACGATCAGCTTTTTTCTTGAGCTTATCACGCTTCCGAGAGCACACACGAATGCTCTAGAAGCACTCGAGGGTGCTCGTACTCAATGTTTGCTTCAATATATGACGTTGATCTAAATGCTCCAGGCGCACTCGGGGATGCTCTGACGGTACCAATGGTGACGTCGATAACATTCTGGTGTTGGGGTTGGTGCTTGTGTTCTTGTTGGTGTTGGTACTCTGTCCTCTAGGAAGCTGATTCGGAGAGAATGTATTCTTTGAGCTCGTAGTCGATATTAGTGTTGAATTTGGCGCTGAGAACACTGTCTCGATCTGAAGAGACTCCGCGAGTGCTCAGGGAGAGAGTGCAGATGCTCAGGGCGATAGAATCTAGCATAACTGGCCGCCTGATTGGGGTGGTGGGTGTTTCTTCGTGTTGGTGTTGATGTTTGTATTAGGTTGGTGATGTATGACATCAGACTCGTATTGAAAATCAGCCTTGCCGACCGGGGTGCAGGTGAGAGGAGCCTCATTGGCTGACAAATCAAATCATTCGAGCACTCTGCAGCAGCACCTGCAGGAAAGAGCCTCCTCGGCCTTGGCAGAAACCAAATTTTTAGAGCACTCAGGAGTGCTTTGCTAGCATCATGAGACTTCAATGAAATCGTCTTGCCCCTTTTGCAGCAAGCGGTACAGCTCCTCCGCGAACTTCGATAAACATCTTCGAACTACACATCCATTTGAAGCAGATGAATGGCTGGGAAACCAATTTTTACTCCTGGAGCGCGATCAAGAGGCACCCGATGACACTCACGACAGCCCGGAAGGCATTCACGATTCCTATTCAGATGCCCATGACGACTCGGATAGTTCGGAGAGCAACAGTATCAATTATCATGACCAAGATCCCGATAATAATTCAGATCTGGAATCCGAATCATATTTTATGATGGAAGAGACAGATGGAGATGCAAATAGGCATGAGGCAGCGACAACGATTTACGAGGGTGCTGGGGAGCGTCTCTACCGCTCGGAGGACTACGACGAATGCTCACAAAACCTTCTCCGATACCCGTGGCACCCATTCAACTCAGCATACGAGTTTAGAATGGCACGTTATTTCATACTGTCGAAGGCCTCACAAGGAAATATCGACAGTTTCTTTCTACACGCTCCGTCAAGCAGTGGCGAATACTCCTACAGGACTGGGCGAGGTTTTATAAAGAGGTTGGACGAAATGAATGACATATTGGGAAAGGCGAGCTGGCATCATTCGGAGGTGGATATTGGGGGAGAGAAAATCCCTTACTATTACCGGGATCCAATGGTAATTGTGCGATATCTTCTAGGCCAACGGGCCTTTCGGGAGTCATTGGTGTACGCGCCAGTGGTAGAGCATAATGAATCTGGCGAGAGAATGTACGGGGAAATGCATACGGGAGATTGGTGGTGGGAGACGCAGGTCTGGTAAGCCTCACAAGTGCTCTAGAGGCAGTCGCTAATGCTTTCTGGACAGAATACCTTACCGGAGGGGTCGACTGTGGTACCAATTATATGCGCGTCAGATGGCACACATTTGACAAATTTTAGTGGGGACAAGAAAGCCTGGCCAATCTATCTTACCATCGGGAACATCAAGTCATCGGTCCGGAGCAAGCCCACCGGGCATTCGTTAATTCTCCTAGGGCTACTGCCAGTCCCACCTAAGCTCGGGAAGAACTCACTCGCTAATTCCGCTTTACGACGTCAGAGTCAAATGGCGCTGCATCGCGCCCTTGGGGAGATCTTTCAGAGCATTCGGGAGTGCTCTCAGGAAGGCGAGCTAATCGCATGCGCCGACGGGTACGAACGTCTATGCTTTCCGGTGTTGTCGGGTTGGATCGCTGATCAACCTGAGCATTCAAACTTACAAAATATTAGTACTAGCTCTTGTCCAAGATGCGAGGTGGAATTCCACAGTCTTGGGAGCACTCGCCGGAGCCCTACGCGCGATCACGAGGATTACCGGGAGAGGGTAAAGCTATTCAGGGAGAACCCGGGAAACCTGGGACCGGTGGAATACCTTGTCGCGAGATCAGTAAAGACACTCTTCAATGCTTTCTGGGGTATGCCGAGGGTTAATCCATACGATCTCAACAAACCGGACATTCTGCACAATATCTACCTAGGGATGTTGAAGCACATGATGGAGTGGGTTCAGGCTTTCTTGAAGAAGCACAATCGATTGGAGGAATTTGACAAGGCTTGGGCCTCGATTGCGCCTTACCCTGGACTGGCAGTACCGAACAAGGCATATCGTGCCACAACCCAATGGCAAGGGAAGGAGATGAGAAATCTGGGGCGGGTCGTTCTTGGAGCACTCGCGGCTGCTTTGAGAAACCCGGGGGTGGCTGTCAGGGGCGACTTCGCAAAGGCATTGAAATGTGTACGAGGCTTAATCGACTTCCACTTAATGGCGCAGTATGGGAGTCATACGACGAGCACACTGAATTATATGGAGAGCTATCTCGAGGATTTCCATAAGCACAAGGATATCTTTTTAGAATTCCGGGCGTACAAGAGGACGGTTAAGGATGCGAGAGATCGGACAAAAGCTGTGAAGACCTCAGGCTCCCAGAGCGCTCAGCGAGGTTTGGAGGAGATTCGCGAGATACGGGAAAGGTCTCACTTCAACTTCATCAAATTGCACGTGTTAACGCACTATCGGGAACATGTCGAGCGCTTTGGGAGCATTCCCCAGTACTCCACCGACATCAGCGAACTCGCCCATGTACGTCAGATAAAAGAGGCATACGGAGCATCCAACAAGGTCGATGCTGCAACGCAGATACTGGACTATGGGGGGCGGCGGTTGGCGTTAGAGATTCGAATGCTGAATCTGAAAGACATTGTTGGAGGTCCTGAGAGCACTGACGACATCTTTTGGAGCCATCGAGATAACCTGAAGGAGTTACTTGAGATTTTTAAAATCGAAGACCGGAAAAAAACACCAAATGAACGATCCATAGTAGAAGGCCGACTGCCTCTAAGGCGTCTTTGCAACCCCTCCACGAAATCGGAAAGACTTTTCAATATTGCGGATGGACTGCAAATAAGCCATACCACGTTATATCGCCTGATAAAGGAGTATGCAGAGGATGCGGGATGCTCTCAAAGCTTTGCCGGAAGCTCTGAGAGCATTTTAGAGCGCCGGGTGGAGATGTTCACATGTTTGCAGGTTCCGATACCAATCTTCCAAAGACCTGAGGTGTACGAGGTTCACAATATCAGGTGTACGGGAAACGCGGCTTTTAGGAAAGGGAAAATAAGAAAGGATTGGGTATGGGTGTCGGTAGCGTCCTCAGAGGAGTGGGGAGTGTTTCGGGGACGCTTACCAGGACGTGTCGAGGCTTTGTTCAAGCTGCGGGACAGTGGGGGGCGAGCACATAGACTATGTATAGTGGAGCTACTCGAGGCAAAGGATCGTGGTATCGCTGATAGCTCACATGGGCTCCTGAAGGTTTGTAGGAGGAGGAGGAAGAGGATGTGGGTCGTTAATATTCGGAGTATATTGGGAATGGCCCATTTGTTTGAGGTGGAGACTGGTAATTGGTTGGTAAATACTAGGATAGACTTGCGTACGTGGAATGAATTTAGTTGAATACTTGTAAAGCCGTGAGGGCATTCTTGAGTGCTCTAGGAACGTTAGACCCAATTGGACTCTCTAATTCAAAATTCGTGTCGTTCTGCTATGCATGCGGATTGGAAGAAGGAGGTAAAGTTTCGGCCGCTCAGTATCTGAGTCTGGCTATCCAGCAAGCTCGCTCCAGGAGGTCAATGCCAGTCCATGTTTGCTGCTTATGCATGGACATTGAGCTTTTCAGACGAGCCGTACCATGGCCTCAACCTCAAGGCTAATTATGCCTTTCACGAATCGACAGAAACATACACGTCCGTCAAAGGTTGGGTAGTCGTCACCAGTATACAGGACAGTGCTCGTATCAGTATCCCGCGACTGACCGTACAGCGGCGTTGAGGATACCCACGTTAGATATCTTTTGAGGGACTGGTGCGGCCTTCCTATCCTTTGAGGACGGTGTATCAATCCAAAGGAGCCCAAGTGAGGGTTGCCTCACCTTGAGTGGGTATGACGAATGCCTCAGCTCTGTGAGCACTGGTGAGTGCTCTGGGAGCACTCGCGGAAGCCCTCGCGGGAGCGTTCGCGGGAGCCTTCGCGGGAGCATTCGCGGGAGCATTCGCGGTGCCGTGAGAGCATTCGCGGTGCCGTGAGAGCATTCGCCGTGCCGTGAGAGCATTCGTCGTGCCGTGAGAGCATTCAAGAAAACTGTGAGAGCATTGGGAAGTGCTCGCGTGTACTACTGACGTAATCAAAAGAAGCAAAAGTTCCTAGGTGCTGTGGGCGGAGTCACTCCATCCTAGCGTCTCCGGAGGGGGAGGGAATCTCATGGCGGCCCAGGCGACCAGAGCATTGGCGAGTGCCCTCCAGACGTGAGCCATATCTCCTGGCGGTCCCAGAGAGTGGGACGGTCCTGCGGCGGAGCCTGGCGCGAAGGTTGTACTCTGGCGGTGCCGGACGCGCTGGGCGCTCGTGGCGCAGAATGCCCGCCAGGACGTAGGGGCTGCGCCCTGGGTAATAGGCGAGCTTGCTGATGTGGCAAATGTATCGTGCTGCAAAAGGGCGGAGGGAAATCTCGTCGGTATAATCGTCGGTATATTCGTTCACGCACATATATGATACGAGTCGGTGGGTTTAGTTGTTGGCATAATCGTTGACACAGAAAGCAGGGAACGGCTAGAGTATCAGTAAAGTCGTAGGTAAACTCGTCGGCAAAGTTATTTCCTGAGTAACGGAGAGCGCTGATAGAAGGTGGGCAAACTTGTAGGCAATATCGTTCCAGCTGTTCGTGCTCCGCGGTTAATGCATCAGTAATGTCGTTGGGAATGTCGTACAGCGCTAGTAGGTGAGTGGCGGTAAAGTCGTTCCCATAGAAACTTGGTCGCGGCACAAAGTCGTAGAGGGGGGCAGAGCGGCAACAGTCGCCGTGCAAAGTTGTTGGCTAACTCGTTGGCAAAGTCGTAGGGCGTGCAACGCGGGTAATATTAAAAGCTACACTGGCGCGGCTACATATTCGTTGGCGTACTCGTTTCGGCTGTGCGTGGTTAAGGCATATGCATCAAGAAAGTCGTCGGCAAAGTCGCTACAGCAAAACAGTGCGACGTAAAGGGAAGTTACAAGTTACTGCTACGGAAAGTGGTGTAAGTCATCGGTAAAGGCGTTGGACAATGCATCAATTGGACGAGTTTACAGAGCCCGCGACGGATAAATGCATCAAGTGATGCATTAACGCGTGCCGTTTGTATGGGTAATGCATCGATGGATGCATTATTTGCGCTGGTAGAGTATTATAAGCTCGACACCCGTTGCGAGCCTGAGGCTATAGCTCGAGATGTATGAGCTCAAAGCCCCCAGGAGCCGAGCCAGCTGCAGCTCTCCCTCGACGGCTCATGGACCTACTACATGTATATAGCTAGGCCACCGCCTTCGCAGTATACTACGCGCAGTAACAGAAGAAAGGTTATACATGTACATAAAATGAAGCCCCAGAAGAAACACCTGAAGCGCCCCCAACTGCCGAAATGTCTGAGACCTCTACCCCGGCCAAACGGGCGTTGACTCGATATGACCAAACTTTGAAGCGTAGCGCAATTTACACCGGTGCGTTGGCGGAGGGCACTGCGGGTAAAGAATAGCAGTACGAATAAAAAGCAGGCTTTATGCCTCCTCCAGAGTCCAGACCGAATCATGTATTTCATTACTTGAAACCGCCATAATTCTACAAAACAGTTACTTCAATTAATGAACTATCAATCAACCAGTCTGAATCAATCAATCAATCAAAATAATGCAATTAATGGATTAAACAAGATCAGTCAAATAGTTACTCAAGATCGAGTGATACTGCATGATTTCACTTGCCGCCACCACATAACATAGCCACTCGCCAGTACTTATCTAAGGTATATACACTAACATGACTACGGGTCAGATAAATTAAAGGTATTTTTTCTGCCCGTTTGCCCAGGGATATTGGGGAATCTGGAGTTTTCGTGAATGGACTCGGCGAGGCCTTTTGCCCCGGGCCCAATGGCCCTGAACACGTGCAAGAGAACAATGGTTGTATATAGTTTACACGCACGCTTACGTTGCAACTGATCACGGGAGGCACGTACATGTATATATACGGTATATACGGTATAATTTTATATGACAGAAAGGAGTCGTAGGCAAGAGAGTGGAGCAGTTATACTTCCATCTCTAGGTTTCATCAAGGTAATTTGACAATATATCCTAGTATGGAATGCTGTATTAGATAAATGGAGTAGTAACGAGGGGTACAATATGTAGTTTTAGACCAACATATACTCTGGAGCACGGGAAATCGAAACCATTCATGCGGCATTACAACACCTATATAAATCACTATAGCCCTTATACTGATCGGCCGATAATCCTACGTGTGCTAACTTCTGGTTATGTCGACTACTTCGTGCACCAAGATCTTCATATTCGAGCACTGCGCATATGGGTGCGATGAGTCGGTTGATATGTGCGATACTTTTGATAATCGTTCAAGCACAAGAGGTATAGATATGTATTGCAGCTTCTGCTATAAGTAAATGGCTCTTCTAATACTAAAGAAGCCTACCTATATAGCTACTACGGTATAAGCTTCAATAATTGAAATCTAGATACCATGGCGATCTGGTCATGCCAATATATGCATGACTTATAGCTCAGGTCAAGAAATGGTGGCATGAGCATTTATCACTACATACGTTTCCAAAATAAGGTTATGAATACATATGTATATATAGGTACATATAGTCATTTACTCTCTATATCTAGGCTGCTAGATCACCTAGAGACAGCCCCCAAAGACATACATACACCAATTACCCCAGACCTCCCCCTCCTATTCCTCTAACTACCCCCATTACCTTTTCTCCGCTCCCCGATCCCGTCCCCGCCATATATATCCCACCGTATCTACCGCCCTACAACCATGTCCCAACCCAACCCCCACCCAGACCCAAAGCTAAGGGTTATAACCACTCAAGCCCCCGCCGCTCCTTCCCTCTCGCCTTCTCGCCAGACTCCCTTTTCACCGGGGACCTCTTCGACCGTCTTGCTCTTTTCCTGCACAAGCACAACACAGCCTTCACGTCAATCGACTGTGTTGCTCGGGGCATTGACAAAGCCACCGCTCTCGCCGACGGCCCCACTATCTGCATCTGTGTGCTTCAAGATCGAGCCGAGACTGGGAAGGTGGATGATCGGAATGGGAAAACGGTACAGCTCGGAGAAGACGTGAGTGGGGAGAGTTGTGGGGACGTTGATAGGGAAGAGGGTAGGTGTGATGAAAGTGAGGTGCGGCGGGAAGTATCTACCATGGTTCCTCCAGGTGAACCTGCTGAGGCGAAAGGGGTGGGTAAACTAGAAGGAAGTATGGATGAGAGTGAGGTGGTCGACAGGGAGAAGGAAGTCGAGGATACAAGAAAGGAAGAAAATGGCGAACAGAAAAAAACGGAAAAAGAGGACTCTGTTGAGGGAGATGCGGAACAACAACCCAGAGACCATGACCAAAGCGAGGATGTACCAAACTCTGAAAAGACGGATGAAGGAGATATCTCCTCCGGCCAGAAGAGTGAACCCATAAACTCATACGGCAGAAACATGGACAAAGTCCAAGATGAAAGGCAAGAAAAGAAGACCGGAACGAATGGAAGCGATGTCCACAACACCCAGAGCATGGCCAAAATGCATCTCGAAACCAAAACAGAAAGGATGGATATAAAACAGGACAAGGTTTCCCAGCCACAAAGGATAGAACAGAATGCTAACACATGCACTTCTGGGATTGCTAGGCTCTTCTGTCAATCAGACGTTGCTCTTACGATCCCTCCTGAGATATTGACTGTCGAGTTCGTTAGTGTAATCCTTCATGAGGACGGTAGAGTTGAAACATGATAAACTGCGGGATATTGAGTAGGGTTTCGAACAGGAGTTTTGGGTTAATTGGTAGAAGCGTTCATGTCTTTTATGAGTGTTGGTGGGTCTCTGGGACGCAGCGGCAAGGGCTTTGTGTATCACTTCGCTGCTTAAGAGACTACTTCAATCCTGGGCTACGAGTGAGAGGCCATGAACATATCACATGCTAAGGATTTTTTAAAATAGCCGTCGTAATATCAATGCATTGACTACCAAAGAAATTATAACCAATAGGAAATAAGAAATACAGCCAAAACAAAGTCAGATATTTATACAATCGAGGAATTCTCGAGCGCTTGGGCATCAACTTCATTAACCGAAAGGAGCAAACAATCCAATTTGGTTTCTATAAACCATCCCCACAAAAGAAAAAGCACAAACAAACTCGATTTAAAGGTCCAACTTAGGGGTAACGCCCTTTATCCGTCCAATAACAGTAGCCGGGGCGTACTTAGGAATGACCTCATCGTCATGCAACATCGCAAATCTAAAGAAAAAGCATTAGTAAGCTATATCAAGCTTGATGGTTAGGGTTTCTTACTCCTCAGTTGCATCTCTGCCGGCAAAGTTCATGACAGCCTGGACACCACCGGGGTGGTCCTCAAGGAAGTTTGTCACATCCATGACTACACCTTTGACAACAACCCATACGCTGTCCTTAGTATTGTGCGCTGCAACCTCCTCCATCGTGAATTCCTTCTCAGGAATGGAAAACTCCTTCTTTGCCGCAGGCTTCGACACTGTACCGGGGTCCTGGCCGCTGGCACTGTCTTTTAAAACAGAGTGTGTTGCAGTCTGACCGGGAATGCTTTCGGCGGAGCCTGAACCCTGTGAGGGGGCGGCGTTTCCACCATTCCACTCAATAGTGAGCTTTCCTGGGGTGTTAGGATCAATATGAAGCGAGATCTGGTTTAGACGGGCAGCAGCGGTAGATGATCCTGATCCTGATACAGCACCAGACAGAACCTTTTGGAAAAGGTATTCCGCAGCGGTGTCACCAGCGACACGGCCGTAAACAACACATCCAAGGAGAGATGAACCACCAAGACGATTAGCACCGTGGACACCTCCGGCAATCTCACCACAGGCGTAGAGACCCTCAAATGGCTTGCCCTCCTTGTTGAGGACACGGGCCCTGTCATCAATCTCAACACCACCCATGGTAAAGTGGACAACAGGCTCCATGAGGGCAACATGGAAGTCGTCATTGATATTGAAAGGAGTGTTGTGGAAGAATTTCTTTCCATAGGGGTCCTTGGTCTTGCCGTCGGCAATGTCGTTGTATGACTTGAAGACCTTCTGGAGGTGCTCGGGTCCGCAGCCAATTTCCTTGGCAAGCTCAGCACCAGTGATCTTCTTCATAAGACCACGCCCGGAGTAATGCCTGGTGTGAAAATCAAGGACCTTTGAGGCCTTGCTGTTAAGGACCAGTCTGATGGGGAACTTGTTCTTGAACATTTCGCCAGAGACATAATCTCTGTGGCCAAGTTCGTCGCAGAATCGGTTACCATCGGCATTCAAGAGAAGACCACCCTCACCACGGAGAGCCTCAGCAGCCAAGAACTTCCACTTGGAAGTAGGGTCCTTGGGGTCTACAAGTCCGGTAGGGTGCACCTGGACCTTGTCCATGTCAATTCCGTTACCGCCAAGGGCCATAACCATCTTCTGTCCATCACCGGTAGCGTGAGTTCCGTTGGTTGATGAGAGCTTAAGGACATCAGGACGGTGCTTCTTCAAGAGTGAGTCTGGGCTGTCGAAATCCGCAGCATATCCTCCAGTGGCGAGAATGACTGGGCCGTACTCGGTGTATGTCTTGCCCTCGTACTCGAAATCAAGACCGGTGACGTGGTTGCCCTCGCTGTTGATCTTGGTGACACGAGCTTTCTTGATAATCTTTACTCGCTCAGGGTCGGTTTCGGCAAGGTCTTCAAGCTTCTGCATCAGAGCGTAGGTGATGGCCATTCCGGGGAACTTGGCATCGTGGCCACGGTGCGTACGGGGTTGTGAGTGACCACTATTTTGCTTCTGTCAGAATTCCGATGCATTGACAACAGAGGAGAATGGAAACATACCCAAGACGAGAGACAAGCGTAAGATCAAGTCCGAATACATCTTGTAACCATTCCACGGCAGCTGCCGACTTGTATGTAAGAACCTTGATAAGATCTGGTCGCGCCTTGTCACGTGCCGACTTCATGGTATCGTCGTAGAACTGCTGCACACTGTCCTGGATTTTTGAGTCGACCTGGGTGCGGGTGAGAGCACCGTTGATACCCGATGTGGCCTTTGTGGAGTTTCCACCGAAAAATCCTAATGTCTCATATTAGAAATGACAAAACGTCGGGGGGGCTGAAGAGGGCCAAATTACCTTGCTTGTCAAGAACAAGAACATTTCCGCCGGCAAGATACAATGTATGGGCAGCACTGAGGCCAGAAACTGTTCAGAAGGTGGGTTAGCTCATATTCATAGCTCAGCTCATTGCGGGGTGGAACTTACGACCGCCACCGACGACAATTACTCGTGGAGGAGACATTATTTCAGTTTTTGATGGAAAAAAAGATAGTAACAACGACGACGACGGGCAAGCTGGTATATTCTTTGTGTTCTGAGAATGTAATTTCACTGACTCGGAGCTCTCTGGGCAATCAATGAACGAGACAAAGGGTACAAAAGAGGACGAGTTATGAAGACGAAGACACGTAGAGGAAGTAGAAGAAGTGGGAAGACGTGGTGGGCTGGGGATCTGACTTTGTACCGCTCGCAAGCGGCAATGGGGTTGGGGTTGGTGTTGGGGGTGGTGCGTCTTGTTTCGGGGTATCGTACAGCCGAGGCTTTTCCTGTCAGCCCTTGGCACGCGGAGGGCATGAAAAAGTGTGGGGCCGGCCAATCAGAGGGCTGCTTACGGAGGTGAATGACGGTCGTTATGCATGAAAGGGCTCGAAAGGCAAATAGGTATTCATCGTCATGTGAAGAAGTAGTGGTGGTGGTTTTGGGGGCCAACCACAGCCTTCCAGCTGGTTGACATGTGAAAGCATCCCACACGGTTCAACACGACCCTATGTAAGCTAGAGTTGAAGAGGCTCCCCTTCCCTTCTCCAGCTTTTGACAATCGATCTCACCCCCGCGTTCCGAAAGGGTCTAGGTCTTGGCCCCAGTGCGCGCCGTATTATGTACCTACTCCTCTAGGTACCCCATTCACATGCAAAGCGGAACATCCCACACACGCCATTTTCCCTCTGTCTGTTCACCGCAAAAAAAAAAAAAAAGGCGACACGTTTTAGCACATAGAGTACATCTTGCGGCGGGGGTTAAATTCCTGGAATTCGCGGATTTAGAACATAAGGTTACATCTGCCAAGTGTGTGTGTGGGGGGTGGGGGGGGACCTGCATTGGAAGTTTGGAACGTCCCCCCAGGCTGAATCGTTTGCAGTTGGGTTGGGTGGTGGCCGAGGCCCTCGGGTTCTGTGTGAGGACACGGACTTCTGACGCGGGGAGTTGGAGTGTAGGTAGGGTGTTCTGTTGCGATTATCAGATCCGCAGCTCTTGGCAAGATCGAGATAGTACCCGGGTATCTAGAGCTACCTCCTCTACGCTACAGCCTTAACGACATTGCGGTTTTGTGGAGTAAAGTTGACCGAATCAGCTTGAGCTTGCAAGTGTAGGCACCAAGATATGTAAGTTCTGTAGCCTTCCCACTGAACCCTGGAGCACCCTAGCTTTGGGGTTCTTAGTGATCGTCCATGATTCGGAACAGCAGCACTGCACTGAGTGACCATCCATGATCCGAAACACCCAGGCCTGTCTCCCAGCCTCGAATTCCAGTAGCAAAACAAAGCGCCTTGCTGCTCTACCTTCTCTACACAATCGCCGATTCAGGAACGTGGGTCAATGACGCAATGGGCTACCGCGAATCAACACTTCCAAAGAGAATCGCGAATGGGATCAGAGAGAGTCTCAGTGTTGCACACTCGCTCACCACACACACATACACACGCATACACTGTAACCTACACTAGAGCTTTGAGGATATATTCAAAATGAACGCCTTGCTTCCCCCCACTACATAGAGCTAGCTCTTTTCCTTTTCGCTCCTTCCCTACATACATACATCCTACACACCCGACACCGCAAGCTCAAGCTCAAGAAACATATAAACAGCTAGCTAGTAACCAGCCCGCCAACCAATCCAATCCAATGGCCGTAACACTATACGCGATCGACGACTACTACCTCACCGCAACGCTGCTCATCACAATCACGTACCAGCTCTTCTTCTTCACCATCGCCTTTGCGCTCCGCTTCGACAAGCTCACGGACTTTGCGGGCGGGACGAACTTTGTGCTGCTTGCCCTCGTTACGCTGTGCTTCAGCGGTGTTACAGATGTTAGGGTGCGTATACCGGAGCTCTTCTAAGCTCCTCCGAGCTCCCCCAAGCTCGTAAAGGCTCCAAGCTAACAGAACCGCTCCCCCGCAGAACATCGTAGCCTCCGTCTTCATGATCGTCTGGGGCGCCCGCCTATCCGGCTTCCTCCTCTTCCGCATCCTCAAGACCGGAAAAGACGACCGCTTCAGTACCCCCCCCCCCTTCCCCTCCCCCACTACATACCCGCCCACTAACACAACCACCCAGACGGCATGCGCGACAAGTTCCTCCCCTTCCTCAGCTTCTGGCTCCTCCAAATGCTCTGGGTCTGGACCGTCTCCCTGCCCCTCACAATCCTCAACAGCCCCTCCACCACCTTCCACACCCCGCAGCCGCCCTTCACCACACCCCTCGACATCCTCGGCAGCATCCTCTTCCTCGCCGGCCTCGCAACCGAGACCCTCGCCGACACGCAGAAATACCTCTTCCGCTCCAGCGCGCCCCCCAAAGCCCTCTTCATCAACAGCGGGCTATGGCGGTACTCGCGGCACCCCAACTACTTTGGCGAGATCACTCTGCATCTCGGCATCTGGCTTGTCGCTATCGCGCCGGCAGCGGAGGGCGCGGTGACGGGCAGGGCCGCGGCGGCGCTGTATGCCAGTGTGGTTGGCCCGCTGGCGCTGGCGGGGCTGCTGCTGTTTGTGAGTGGGGTTGCGCTGCAGGAGCGGCCGGCGGCGCGGAGGAGGTGGGAGAGTGGTGAGGGGTGGGTGGAGTATGAGGCTTATTTGAGGAGGACGAGTGTGTTGGTGCCGATGCCGACGGGGGTGTGGGAGCGGTTGCCGGCGGTGGTGAAGAGGACGGTGGGGTTGGAGGTATGTATACTCTGTGGGGGGGGGGGGGGGGGATGGGGAGCGGTTGCTAATAAGGTGTGGGGTGCGGGTAGTTTCCGATGTTTGTTTTTGATCCGGCGACGATGGCGGGGGAGGGGGATGGTCGCGCGCTGAGGGCGGGGGACGCGACGTAGGATATTAATCCTAGCTATTCCCATGGCTCGCTCGATACCCTCGTTTTCGTTTCTCTTCTCTTGTCGTAATGATCCCGTTTGAAAACATGTATTATACCCTTAATGTCAGTGCGCTATAATGTGTGCCATGATATTATGCTGTGCCTCATCCGTGCAGCTTTCTCCTAGAACTGTTGCAGTAGAGACCGCGCCGGGGAGTATGTCGGGTTCGCCGTTACGTGCGGGTATGGAGTGTGGAGTGTGGAGATTCCGGCCGGGGTTGTGGGGTTGTGGGGTGGGCTGCGGATTGTGTTGTGGGGTAGGTAAATACTACATGTAGATGTCCTCGAGGATAACTATGCACTCTATGTGGGGAGTAATGCGTGAACGGGGCATCGTGGCTTTATGAACTGTGGATTGTGGATGTGGAATACTGCATATGTAGTTTTAGTAGTAGGTTCATACAAGCAGGGCTAAACCAAACCCGCGCCGTGCGTTTATGCCAACAGTTGAAATATATGTAGCGCGGTATGTTGGTACCGAGTGATGCACCATGAAGCAACCGATATCGATATCGATACCAACACTCGCAACTCACAACCCTCCGCACCACACACCATACTCATACTCCCACCACGAACACGCAGTATAGAAACCTTTTCCATTCCCTCAGCTAGCTAGCTACACACGTGCAAAGAAACAGAAACAGAGAAAGCGCAGTAGAAAAAAGAAGAAAAAGCTACCCTATATAAATAAAAAAAAAAAAACACTTTCAAAAACGCCTTATCCTCCCTTCCCCCCCCCCCCCCCCACACACATAGCCTCCCATCTCTCCCCCCTCCATCTCACCCCCGTTTCCCCTTCCCCTCCCTATAACACCCACCCTAGTCTCCCATTAATTCCTCCCCCCCGAGAAAAACACCCGACTGGCCACACTCCCCGCAAACTGCCTCGCCAGGCCGCCGCCCGTGGTGTTGAGCGCGCGCCCCGCAAACGTAGAGGCGTTGCCGAACTTGTCGGCGCGCGAGAAGGCGACGCCGTTGGTGACGCAGAGGATCACGGCGATTACTGTGTTGTGTTAGTGGGAGGCTATATGTGTGGGGGGGGGGGGGGGGATAAATTGGGTGGTAGAGAGAGAGAGAGACGAACCAACAAGCGACAACCAGATAAACTCGAACCGCACCACCGCGACGACGGCCAGCAGCACCCAGAGCAGCGGCACGATGTAGAGGGAGAGCCAGAAGAAGCGGCTGTCGGTTGCGTTGATTTGGCGGGATTCCTGCTTTGCCGTTAGCTCCCCCATCACTCATACCACCACTACCACTGTCACAGGGAACAAGGAGGAGAGGGCACATACATCGGGGCTTTCAAACACCCAGATGCTCTCGCCGCTGTTGTCGGCGCTGGTCTCGTTCCACCAGCGCAGGCCGACAAGGCGGCGGCCGGCAATGTTCTTGACGTAGTAGAAGTCGGCGGCGAGGAGGAGGATCACGATGATGAATATCAGCACGCTGGCGTTTCGCCGTTAGCTGTGTTGAGAGAGGGGGAGAGGGGGTGGAGGGGGTGGAGGGGGTGGGGGAGCGGGTACAAGTTTGAGGAGAACCAGAGGCCAAAGAGGTAGGTTAAGAGCGCAGCTGCAAGTGTGCGGTTAGTATAGCTGGAGCTGGAGCGCGGGGGACATTGTTTGAGGGGAGGACTCGAGGGGGACGTACACAGGCGGAAGGCGAGGAAGAAACCGAGCGTAGCGGGGTGCGCAGAGAGGCGCCAGCTGAGGGCTCCTTCTTGGGGTCGTTGCTGGTGGGTGTTGTTAGTCTGCTTGTCTGTTTTGTCCAAGAGGAGAGAGAGGGGGGGGGCATTACGGATTCCATAGTTTCTATTGTTCGTAGGAGGGTAAATGGGTTGTTTGTGAAGTAGAAACAGAGGGAGAGAGAGAGTTGCTGAGCTTCACGAACGTTGACGCGGCCTCGGTGTGATTGGGCGCTGTCACGTGCAGGGCAGGGGTTGCGGGGGCTATTTATGGTTGCAGAACTCTCTCCTCCACCTCTGCATCTGCATCAAGAATCGATACAGCTAGCCAGGGTTAGGGGTGGGTCCACATCCTCCTCTAGACTCTCTAATCTCGACCTTCAACCTCCCCCTCCCCCTCACCTCACCCTCACCCTCACCCCTCACCACCACAACACTCACCCACCCAACGAGCACCACCACCATCATGAAGTGCCAAAAGTGCCGTCAGCCCATCAGGCTGCACAGCTCCCTCGAAGACCTCAGTCCCGCCGCCTTCAACCTCCTCACCGGCAAGCGTCCACTCCACTCCACTCCACTCCACTCCACCCCACTCTCACATCTATTTCTCCCCCCCCCCCCCCCCCCACCCCACCCAGCCAGCAGGACCAGACCACTAACTAACACCCCACAGGCGGCGGCATCCCCCCGACCACCTCCGATACCCCCATCGGCCCGCCCCTCTTCCCCCCAGACCGCCGCGACACATACGACAAAGCCGCGCAGAACGCCTCAGCCCCCATCCACAAGCGCACCATCCCCACCCGCTCCTCCACCGCCCCCGCCCGCCCAAAATCCGTCTACCAGAACCCCGCCGAAAGCTATGTCATGCTCACGCAATCGCAGCTCGCCCCCGCCCCGCTCCCCCCATCCTCCAGCTCCTCCTCCGCCGCCGCCTCCTCCTTCTCCCGCAACAACAACACCACCGCGCCCCCGCCGCCGCAGTTCCTGCTCCCGCACGACGAGAACGCGCTCAGCCACCAGATGCACACCTCGGCCGGCCTCTTCGACATCCTGAGCGCCCGCAGCGACATCGACTACCCCATCTGCAGCGAGTGCACCGACCTCCTCGTCGAGGGCCTCACAAAGCGCCTCGCAAACGCGACGCGCGAGCGCGACGCCTACGTCGAGTTCCTCAAGCGCGTGCACAGCGAGATACCCACCGAGGCCGAGCGCGACGCCGCCGTGCGCGAGATGACGCACCTGCAGGACGAGGAGGCCGCCGCGCTGCGCGAGCTCGCCGAGACCGAGCGCGCGCGCGCCGCCGTCGAGGACGAGATTCGCGGGCTCGAGGAGGAGGCCCGTGCGCTCGAGGGCGAGGAGGAGGCGTTCTGGCGCGAGAGGAACGGGTTTGCGGCGAGGCTGGAGGAGTTCCAGAATGAGAGGGATGGCGTCAATCTGCAGTATGATCATGACTCGAGGCAGCTGGAGAAGCTGCAGAGGACGAATGTGTATAATGATACGTTCTGTATTGGCCATGATGGGTATTTTGGGACGATTAATGGGCTGAGGCTGGGGAGGCTTCAGGCGCAGCCGGTATGACGCCGTTCTTCCTTTCACTATCACTACCACTACCTCTCCTATAAGAAAACCAGCTAACGCACCCGCTCCATCCGCAGGTCGAATGGACCGAAATCAACGCCGCCTGGGGCCAAACGCTCCTCCTCCTCTCCACCATCTGCGACAAGCTCACCTTCACTCCCAGCACCTACCGCCTGCGGCCCATGGGGTCCACCAGCCGAATCGAGCGCCTCGACTACCCCGCCGGCGGCCACGGCGAGCCCAAAGTCACCACCCTCGAGCTCTTCTCCAGCGGCGACCTGCCGCTGGGGAGGATGTTTATGCACCGCAAGTTCGACCAGGCCATGGTTGCGTTCCTCGAGTGCCTGCGGCAACTGGGCGAGTATGTGGAGCGCACGGACGCGGAGATGAAGCTGCCGTATCGCATTGTGAAGGATAAGATTGGCGATAGCTGTATTAGGCTGGCGTTTAACCAGGATGAGGCCTGGACGAGGGCGTGCAAGTATACGCTTACGTGTGTGAAGTTTTTGTTGGCGCATACGAGGTGAGTTTTTTCCCGGTGTGTGTGGGGGGGGGTGGAAGGGGGTGGGGTGGGGTGTGAGAAGAGGGGAATGGGCTGATGGGGTGGGTGGTAGCAATGCGGCTTATGCGAGGAGGGCGGGGGGGAGTTAGTTGTATATACGGCCCCGCGGGGGGGGGGGAGGGTGTATTATTATTAGGACGCGCGGTTTTGTGGCTGGTAGGTAGGGGTAATTAAGATAGCTCTCTCTCTTTTTCTTTAGTTTCTTTCTCTTCTCTTTTCTTTTTTTTCTCTCTTTCTTTCTTGATATCTTTCTCTCTCTCTCTATTTTCCACTTTTTTTTTTTTTTTGCTCACTTTCGCATATAGTAGTGTATTGTGCGTGCATGTGGCATGGGGGATATCTGGGCAGGAAACATACCATCGACACAGGCAGGTGGTAATGGTAACTAAAAAACTAGGACATGACATTGTAGTACGTGTAGGTATGTATTGTACATTCATTGTTATGTAATAATACTGGAAAATAATGATACATTCTGGCTGGAATATATTTTTGGAGTTGGTGCTACATATTGGGATAAGGATAGTGCTGGGGGACGTTCGGGGTTGCTATGGGGGGGGGGGGGGGGGGTGTTTGGGGGTTCTGCGCCTTGGGGCTGGGGTAGGGGGGTAGGGGCTAGCTGTAGGTTGAGAGTGTGGAGAGTGTGGAGCAGGTGGATGGGGCTGTAGATAGGACACCTAGGATTGGCTTGTGTGGAACTCTGACTTTTCATTTTCGTGGTCGCCCATTCGAACTTGAGGGCGTTAGCTATAGCCTGCGCTCTCTCTATATCCACGACTACATGTATACGTATCTGCCGCCGAGAACCAGCACACAACCATTGCAGGCCTGTATTAGCTATAGTCTAACCCCACCATAACACGGTAGGCCTACCTGCGGTAGTTCGACATTCCCTATAGCTAGCTACGTTGCGAGGTTCTAAAGGGGATGCCGTATCGGAATTGATCAGGGGAGAAGTGACATTGCGGAATATAGATAGCTTGGGCGTTAAAACGAAGCCTGCCTGTAGATTGTAATAACACCCCACAGCGACAGGAACAAATCAAGGCCTATCTGGTCTACTGGGCTCATGGGCATGGTTAGGGTTACGAACGAGTGATATCCCATGTCCCAATTTACCAAATCCAAAAAACGGCGGCTATCTTATCGGGTGGCGCCTATCTGTTACAAATGCCCCACCCACCCCCCCCCCCCCCACAAACCATCTAATGATCTAGTGGTGCTTGTTGGGTAGGTTTGAGACATATATGTATGTAGGAAAATGATAGTGTTTGGCAATTCACTTGTCACTGGCCAATCATAGTTATATTTTTCACAAGGAAAATGCACCCTCTAGTTAGCCTATGCAGCTGTTTGGACAAGAAGAACATTATAACGTGTCTTCATTTTGAAACGTGATATTGTTGGATCGACTCTATTCGCGCTTTATTCCTATTTCTGTGGGGCATAAAAAGGGTGGGCGAGTGCTGCCCCATGACTCTATCCCTCTCTCCGGGCAAACATTCCGCAGGAGAGCACCAAAATTCAAAACAACCCTATCTGAGTGTTTTGAAAAAGATAGGAACTAAGAACTAAAGTTCGAGTGCACTTTCCCCCGCGGATCCACCACCACGAGGCATCAAGAGCATATCTACAGCGAGAATTCAATTGTCATCTCACGGCGCACGTGGGGAATGTTGTTGATAAAAAAGTAACCATCTGGGTATCATTGTTTGCGCTCTTCCCCCCTTCTTTTCCTGCAAAAACTCGCCCACCCCATCCCTCGCGCCTGTATATTAAGTAAGGGGAGGCGAATTCAGGTACAATCTCCCAAGATTAAGGGAGATGGAATCAAACCCCCACACACACTCCCAAAGGAACACCATAAGAAAGAAATCAAGAAAACCCCCGGGAAAATGTGTCGCCGAGATTCCCCCACCCCAGTAGAAGTTCCTGCCCAAAGGAAAGAGAAAAGAAACCAAGAGAAGGAAACCTCATAAAACATGACATCGTGAAATAAAAAGAAGAAAAAGGAAGGTTGGGAGTAGTAGTAGTAAAAAAATATAAGAAGCCCCCGAAAAAAGGAGAATGACAGAAAATCATATATAAACAATCTGACCGCATCATCATTATCGTGAAGTCTCTTTGCTTTGTTTATACATCCCTCAAAACAAAGAGTATAGAAGATGATAGAAACGATATACCACCGATAGTACACATTGTTTTTCGTCGCTAAAAAAATTATAAGAAAGCCCACTTACAAAAAAAAGAAAACAGCTAGCGTGGTCTCCCGCCCTGTTCTTTTCTTATGCCCCCCACTGACTAATCGATAGTAGATTTTCGAAATCGATAAAGCCCGACAGAACCTTCTTCTCCCCCATAGCGAGTCCCTCACTAGCCCCCCTAATAATATAAACAGAAGAATAAAAATAGAATTCAAAAACGTGCATTATGCATTATTTTCCAAAACGTTTAGCCCTTACTGCCTCTCCGCTTGAACCAACTCTTCCTTTTCTTTTCCTCCTGTTTTTCCGGCTGTGGCGCTGGTGCTGGTGCTGGTGCGGGTGCGGGGTTACCGAGCGATATTGGCTTTCGGACCGTTGACGGCGAAGTCGGCATGCTTTGAGGCATCTGAGATGGACCCGAACCAGATGGACCAAAGTTTTCAAACGGGGTTATCTGTTGAGAGCTCTCGAACATGGCCTGGTCGCGAAATCCAAAGGATGGTTGTGGAGGCGGTAACGCCGGCTCCCGAATATATCCACCGGGCCCATCGGACCCAGCACCCGATGATGACGAACCAGGATTAACCGGACTCTCACCACCCCCATTTGCAGCTTGATTATGGTATACATAAGGTTGATTCGGAGGGGCATCGTAATTCTGTGACTCGTAGGTTTGTCTTCTCTGTGGTCGCCCCATGCGCTCCTGTGGGTGTGGGTTGTTGTATCCGTTGTATCCATGGCCAACATTTGATCCTGGAGATCTTCTTCTATTCATATTTCCATAACCCATTTCAGATTCGCCGTAACTAAGATCATGTTAGAAAATTGACAATCGGCCGAAAACTAGTAAATCGGTGTCCATACCCGTCTACTGCTGATCTGGGTGTCTCAGAATATCCAGAGCGACCAGTGTAATGTAGAGAATCCGATGGTGGGCGTCCCCGGGGTACCGTCGTCTGGTAATAGCCCACTGCACGCAAAAAAATCAGTAACCAAAAATCGAAAGTTCCGAAAGCGGAAGTAACAAACTTTGCTGCGGATGACGATTGTGTTTCCAAGAATTGCCATCAACGCTGTCTACTGTATCCGACGAATAACCAGCGCCAGCATTAGACGAAGTTCTCTCTGCCAAAATGTTTTAGCAACTGTTTGAACTCGCCACATAGATACGACCAGGAAATGGTATAAAATACCTACGTAGGACCCCCGATGCTCGTCCCTATCAATTGCAGCCTCAAACCCTCGAATTGTCTCCAGCGGGCTTTCCCAGCGGTGCCTTGTGGGGTTCGTCAAATCCGGATCGGCTGTAAAACTCAATGTTAGAACCTCAATTGTATTGCTTTTTCCCAAGGGCTTCCATACTGATATCATTTCCGAAGCGATCCTTAAACTTGAGTTGCGAAAGACTCTTGTACTGGTTTGTAGACTGGTTTACTTGAACTATTATCCAGCACCAAAAAAGTCAGCAATTGCAACCAATTGAGTTGTAGCGACCCTTTAAATCGGGACTAGACTGGTGTCAGTGCACAAAACGTACAAGGCTCGTCCTCAGTGATTGCTCTGGTAGGATCCACGTTCTTGGTCATCTTTTTCTGCTTCGCCGGCGGTAATGAGCTAAGTCTTGTTTCGTCCTTGTTCTTTTTCGACCTCAAGCTCCAGGTCCGAGTATGGCCCTTCTTTATCGATGCGGCGGACATTATTTACTTTATATCTGTCGGGAGTGGGGCAGTAGTAGCAGTAGTAGTAGTGCGAAGATCGAAAGATGTGGCGGAGGACGGCTCGTCAACAGCGATTAAGAGAAAACCGGCGAGAGCGACGTTCCGCTATTTCCCCTGCAGGCACGTACGACGACGGGGTGGGGGGACAAGACAGGGAAATAATGAAGGGATCCACAAGCGTTTGTTGTTGGCAATAGAATGATATGATGGAGTGAGTGAGTATTTTAGGTGATGATAGTACTGCTGTGCTGGGATGCAGTAGTAAATGTTGAAACTACCGGTGCGGGATGAGGAAAGGTTTTTCTTTCCCTTTTTTTTTTGACGGGGTTGAGGATTACGTAGAATTTTAAGGTAGAGCCACGCGAAAATCTCCGTAACAAGCGAGGTGATCTTATTATACAACAGGGACGCGGCTGGATCGAAGATGTAGAGAGGTGGTAGTGGTAGGTTACTGTGAAGAAGGTTTGACAGGATCACAGGGACTCTTTCATAGGAAAGGAATCAGTAACCGGGCGAGGTGGGGGGAAGGGGGGAGGGACGAAGAAGCCTCGAGAAGCTGATGGCAGTAGTATAAAGAGGGAAGAAGAGAGGAAGAGGGAAAAGAAACAAAGTTAAGAGATGACGAAGGGTACAATTGAAAACTGCCTCTTCTGCTGCGTTCCACACGAAAGCTTGCGTAACTTGCATGCACAATAGTACGCGAGCAAGGCATGTTCCTACACACCATACGGGCTGCTTCCCTTCGTCTCAACCTCTCGCACTCACACAAAGCAGGTGGTAATATTGCTCGTCCGTAAATCGTACGTGCATTCCCTTCATTGCTCGTCCTCCAGGCACCGATAGGAGGTGTGTGTATCAATCAATCAACCAGCTGGTCAGCAAAGGAATTCTATTTACACTCATGGTACCTCCTACTGATCTAAAGTACCAGGTACATGCATATAGCTCTCTGTATTTTTTGTTTTGTCTGCCCAACCAGTCCAGTGCAATCCGTCCCCCATCAGTCGATACGAGGACTCTCAGACAAGATGCCCTCTTACACCCTCCTCAAGTTGCAGATAGGCATACGTCTCCTAGGGAAGGTATCACGTTGTCCGGGAACGGGTACGGACAACTCCGCTCGAGAGAGGGTGAACGACGTTGCAAACGTGGGGCTCGTTCAGAAGCGTACGCAATGTGTGTGTGGCGCCGTAGCAGGGGAAAGGAACAAGGATGATGGACTAGAAATAGAAGCACCCAAACTACTCGACGTCACTCCAAGAAAGCTGATCTGCCATCCACTAATCTTTAAAATAAGTTCATCAGTACGAACAGCAACGACGTCCAGCCAGCCAATCACAGCCCACGGAGGTAATTAATGGAGAAGAGCACTCCTGGCCAGAAGCCTATCTATCTCTGCTGTGGCGTGAGAATCCAGGATTCTTGTGAGGACAACTTGTCACCGGGAGTATCTCTATGTACCCAGGTAGCAGTAACACAACCCTTACCTTTACCCCCACAGGCGGTTTGGAAACGGGTGATTAGATTGATAGCTACTCTTCCCAGTGCTGACTGACTCTACTGATATGGATCCGACAACTCTGTCGCTGGCTGATGCCTCCATCTCAATCGCAGCTGCTGTTCCAGAAAGAGAAGAACCTTATGCACTCTCCACTTGGAAGAATTATTACTATTTCCCATCTAAGGCAAGTGCCTGCCAAGACTGATACGCTTAGTAAATCTGTCCCTTATCCCTGCACTAAGACAACATCCTAAATACACACCCTCCCCACCTTCTTTTCCCTCTTCCCCGGGCTGTCATTACTCCCGGTTCCGTACAGGCTACAAGAAGAGAAAGAAAGATCGATGGCAGCCCCATTATTACGGCGAGCATTACTCTACGGTGGGTATTTGCCACTGCTTATCTATCCGCTGTTCATTCAATCTAGCTGGATAGATATAGATCAGAGCGAGAGAGAGATCTGTCAGTCTGCCTAGCTTCATGGAGACTTTGCGGAACCTTGCCTCGATTCTGCTTCTAAATCGGACTTTCTAAACAACCCTCTATTTTGAACAAGCCTTTTTTTTCTTCTCTTCTTGAGCACTTTATGCTGACCATGGCATCGGATGGATGTAGTCCCCGGGTCCAGTAAACGCATGTTGGAAAAGTCGAGACTGCTGAACGTTGATTGCATCGTAAGACCTGGCCCTTTTCCTTTATTCCTTACCTCGGTATTTACCTTGTCGATGTGCACTTCACTTGGCCTTATCCCCACCTTTGCGTCCTGCATGCCCAGCCTTTGGCCTTGCCTTGGCTCGAGCTCCCTAGGCCAATTGGGAGGAAATAGTAGAGCTCTAGCTACAACTCTATGGCATCACTATCTCTGCATACAATCCCCATACCCATTACCTGTTCACCTACAGACCTACATACGTATCTCCCTATCTATCTCATATCTAAAACCCCACTCATCATCATGACTTGACTCCTTTCTGCACTATTTCCTTTTTCCTAAGAGATCCCATCTTGTAAAATACCCGATGTCTCATGCACCATACTCAATTATTACTCGACGTCAGATCTCTCTTTACTATATGTCTGTCCAATTGAAAAAAAAGAAAAAGAAAAAAAAAGAATAACCAAAAACTAAATAATCTTCCCTTTCTGTCCCCAAATACTTAGACCTACGACTTGGAAGACTCCGTAACCGTCTCCTCGAAGCCCGCCGCGCGCTCGCACATTCGCGAGATCCTGTCACTGCCCCGCGCCCATGGTATTCGCGAGCAAGCCGTGCGTGTAAACTCGATCGGCACCGGTCTCGCGCTCGACGATCTCACAGAAGTGGTATGTCTTACCACGCGCCCTATGTACTCTAAAACAGCGTACTCGCGGCAGGCAAAAAGTACCGGACAATGCAAGTTTTATCTCTAGGCTTTTTTTACAGTAGTTCACGCCTAGCACGCGCACCCATTGGTGAACCAAAAACCCGCATTGTCCGGTACTTTTTGCCTGCCGCGAGTAGCAAAGTAACAAACAAGGGACTGGGGTGATTGACCAATGATGTTCTGCACCCCTAGCTCAAAGCGCCGCATCTCGACACAATCGTGGTCCCGAAAGTTGAGAGCCCGGCAGATGTGTATGCCATACCCTCCCCTACCTACCTGTCTAAGATACGTACCGGGAGAACCTCTAACCCTATTCTGCGTTACCAAGAACCTTTGTCGCCAATGTTCTCGACCACTCAAACCATCCCAACAAAACCGGCATAAAAATCATTGGTCTCTACTCACCACCCCCACCCCCACTCACATTTCTACCAACAACCCTCCATCCCAACATGTTTCTAAACTACATATGTAACTAACCACCCACCCCCAGCGCTCCTTGAGTCTGCCCGCGCAATAATGGACATCCGTTCCATCTGTGCCTCCTCCCCGCGCCTCAGCGGCCTCGTCTTCGCCGCCGAAGACTTCGCGCTCGACCTTTCCCTCACGCGCAGCCCCAGCCTGACCGAGTTCCTCTTCGCGCGGCAGACCATCGTCGCCGCCGCGCGCGCATACAACATCCCGTCGGCCATCGACCTGGTGTGCACGGAGTACAAGGACACCAGCGACGCTGGCGCTCTGGCGCGCGAGTGCAAGGAAGGTGCGGCGATGGGGTTTAATGGGAAACAGGTTATCCACCCGGGGCAGGTCGAGAGGGTGCAGGTGATGTTTCTGCCGAGTGTGGAAAGGGTGAGGGGTGCGGTGCGGGTGCTGGTGGCGGACAGGAAGGCCGAGGAGCAGGGGAGGGGGAGCTGGGCGCTGGATGGGAAGATGGTGGATGCGCCGGTGGTGGGTGCCTCGAGGAGGGTTGTGGAGAAGGCGGAGTTGGGGGGGATTGATGTGGGGAAGATCTTTGAGGAGGAGAAGGGGACGGTTCCGGACTCGTAGAGTGGAGTGGGGGTCTTTTCTGTAAATGATGGGTTGGGCGTAGGTGTGTATAATTGTGGTGGATTTGTAGATGCCCGTGAATTAAGTGCTCATACCTTAGCTCTATTGAGCTATCAAGCTATTAAGCCATATCCTCCTACTAATTACTGCAAGCACGGCCAAGGAAGCCTGATATCATTACATGTAGTACTCACTACCGGCCCCGCGGTCCTACCAAAACCATCCCCCAAAACATCCATCGTGGACCGGGGTAAATATGTAAACGCCACATGTACCACCCCTAACCCCCGTACAACCCCAACCCAAATTCTCCCACCCCTAATCCACCCCCATTACGCGTCCTCGTCTCCCCTCAAACAACACTCTATTTAAGCTTCAAAACACTAGCTTAGCGTACAATTCCCCGGCGCAAGGGCAATCAATTGCAGGGGAAGAAGGGGGGATTCGGGGAGGGAGGCGTCAAAGTAAAACCTTATCCCGCTGCAGACAGGGCCGGGGGCTTCCTCGGAACGTGCAGGTGGGCCGTGAGCCCGCATTCAATTGTGCGGGGTTGTTATGATAATTGTGTTTTCCACGGAGCTTGGGGAGATTGGTTTTGGGAGGGTGCTTCGGGATTGGGTGTTGGTTTTGAAATTGGGGACGTTGGGGGTTGGAAGTAGATATTAAGTTGGTATTATTGATAGTGGCAGTTGAGGTACTTTCTCTCACCGGCTGGAGAGTGTAGAATGTTTGATATTAGGGCTGGATTCTGAGGTGAGATGACACCTATGCTACCTAGGCTTGTTAAACCTAGATATCGATGTAATTACAAGTAGATGCTACTCGAGTTATGTATTATATCAATATAGTTCGTCTGTGTAGGTTTGCTAATATAATTGAGGATGGGATATCGGTTTCAATGCATTATTCTCTCGGAATCTCTCCCATATCGCCACATATTGATGCAGCTAACGCATTATATTCCCCAGAGAAGCATGGTGTCCGGAGTGTTTGTTTGCGGGGTTGCACATCTATACATCAAACACTGATTTCCTCAGTAAATATCCTCTCTACTCCACTCTACCAATTGTGACACTCACGGTCAAGTTAACGAAGAATCCACATATCACACCGCGCACCCCCAGCTTCCAAGCACAGTCCACATCCCCCTCCTCTTTCGCCGACAGAGCCGAAGGATCGACGGGAGGCGTGTACCAACCCCGGAGATAAAGGCCGTCCACCTCCATCATCCACAACCACTCAATCAACTTCAAGGCACGTGTGTCCTAAGGAAGCGTAAAAACTGAAACAAGAATCCATCCCGGTTTACAATTCCGTCACTGTCAGCTTGGCCCTAACTAGCTCCGTGGCTATTTATACATCTCGAATTTCAAGAATAGAGTAGAGTAGACTCTTCAAATTTTCTGTGTGTGCCACATTTCACCGGTAGAAGCTGCTTAGATGGGCTATCTTGTACTGGGACGGGGGAGGAATGGGGGGGTTGTGAAACGTTCCATAGTATAGTATAGAATGTCAGCTAGAGTATTTAATCGTTCTGGTGGTGGTGGTCCTATAGCTATGAGTCGTAAGTATTTTAATTGTACCTGGTCCACAGCGGGAGTGACATATGTCAATTTCTGCGTGTCTACCTAGCATGTACATGTATGTACATGTATGCATGAACTGTGCTGTCAATGACCTGATATGTAATCAGCGTGAGAACCACACCGGCGGCGATGGGTCATGTGTCGCCATGGTGGGGGCGGAGATATCAAACCTGGTTTTCGGTGCAGAAAAATGTAGTTCTCTGTTGAAATCTGTTCTGAAATAAGTGCTCGGGCTCGGCCAGACTTGAACACCGTGGCCCAACACTCAGCCGCCCCCACTTCGACCGCCGTACCTCAACCGCCGCATCTCTACCCATAAAGCAGACATATAAATAGACTTGACTACTACCTTTACATACCACGCCTGGACCTGGGTCTTTCCACCATCTCTAAAGGCTTCCAAAGGCAGCATCGCATTTCATGCAGAACCGATCATTTCCGTATCGATAGGGGTTTGAACTGGGGGATCTGGCTCGCTGGTCTTTAGGTGTGAGAAGAGTATTTAGGAGTGGAAGCTAGTGTGTTAAGAGCGTAGCTAAGGGTAATGAAGGGAAGGAGGGTTGACGAAGGTAGATATATTGCGCTATGGGGTGCGTTTTACGTATGGGTAGGGAAGAGGTAGATTGGCTCTATGATGCTGGTATATTTCGGGCGGTAACATAAACGCACGGCTTGGAGGATTTTTGACTCGGCCGGCACTAAGTAACATGTAGTCAGTGCCGGTAGGGATCCCGGGGGATATAACATAAATTGATGAGATAAAGATCATTGACACCAACTGGCACACAAGTAAGGGCCTATGAAGCTCAAGATCATGCTCGAATAGCTCTGGTGATGCTTTTTTTTATAATGATTCTCAACTACTAGAGAAGATATTATTAGATTGTATTGAGGCCCATAAGCCCCTGCTTCTCCCTAGAATGTCCACTGTAGGTAATAGACACCGCACCACGGCATCCCCACACTCACTAATCACTCCCTCCTATTCAGCATCTCCACCACCACCAACGCCCCAACCTCCCCCACAACCCCTCTAAGCACCGTTGCAAACCGCTCCTTCCAATCCACCCCTCCTTCCTCACTCGCCCCTCCTTCTCCCTCCTTCTCCCTCTCCTTCTCCTCTTCCTCCTTAAGCTTCTTCTTCTTCTCATCCTCCTTCTTCTTCTCAGCATTCTGCAGACGCCGCTGGGGCCGGGGCTCGGGGGCCCGCATATACGGAATCATGCCAGCGACCCCGGGTGCAGCTGGGATGCTGCTGCACTCGGGGCAGTGATGCGGGACGTCGAGGTGCTTGAGAAGCAGCGTGCAGCTGTAGCCACAGGTGGGCGTGAGCGGGGTTCGAGTGAAGCCGCGATGCCCGCAGGTGGTGTGGTAGATGAATAGCATTTGGCACATTGTGGATTTTTTTGAGATTATCGGGCGGGGGTACGGGGGGCTGTTTTTTTTGGGGGGGGGAGGGGATGGGTGGTGCGGTGATTGTTACGTCACTTTTTGGAGGGTGGAATTGGCTTTGGTTTTAGGGGCGAGGGGATGGTTTGGTGCGCTAGTTTACGTAGTCTAACTTGCATGTTTAAGGGTTTGGTGTAGCAGATTTGTAGTTGCTGCTGTACTGATATTAGAAGATTATTTGGGGAGGTTATGAGGGTCGAGTGATATCATGTGATCCTGAAGGGATTCGTGGTTAAGCTAAGGTGCTCTGACCTCCTGGTCAACACTTCACAGTCATTAAAATGGGAACTGGCTGGAGTATTATCGACTGCCAGGGCCCCAGTAAGTAACTTTGGTGACTGGGACGCCTCTCTGTGTACATCTAATTGATTCTACAAACTTGGTCTGTTGGACAGCCAGAGTGGGGGCTAGATGTTGTAAGTATAGGCGGTATATAGACAGTGGAGACTCGTGCTGTTGTAATTATCGAGCTTATCTCGAACCAGACGTTAGGTGGGCCAGGTCACGTGCCTGAATAACCAACAAACTTAGCGTTGTGGATGCACCCAACTCGAGCCTCTAAATTACCTCCTACAGCATTTATCGATGCGTTTGTGGCTGAGCCCCGGTGGTCAATACCAACACGTTGATGCGTGGGAGGCGTTGGTAGGGAGGTCAGAACAGGGTCTTTTAATACTACGTTTATTTAGGTATATATCTACAAAGGCAGAGAAAAACTTCATACATCCGATAACACCAGAATAAATGACGGATAATAGGTACATGTAGTGTACAAGGACAGAAAAAGAAAGGGGAAATTCTAGATCTATAGTAAAAAAAAAAAACCATAAACGCAGCTCCTCTAGTCCTCATCACTATCGTACTTTCTCGCCTTTTCCCCTCTTACTGGTGGTTTCTTCTTTGTCACCTTCGTTACCCTCATGGCCATCCTGTTCTTTTTGCTAGCCGCAGCCTTTGCAGCCTTCGATGTCATTGGCCTTACAGAAACCTTTGGCTTCGCCTTTTCAGTGCGGAACCCTTGGATCATTTCTGTGAAATTCGGTAGAACTTCGTCATCGCCGTCGTCATCATCATCAGTATCTTTATCGTCGTCTTTATCATCATCTTCTTCCTCTGATGTCCCAGTTGAGAATTTCTTCCTTTTAGCTCTGGGCAGACTTGAGTCGGACTCTATCATTACATCCTCATCCTTATCCTCGTCTTTGTCCTCGTCGATAGTGTCACCACCTGGTGAGCTTGTTAGATCTATCGATTTTTTCTCCTCTATCGAACTATCGGAGGCCTTGCGTTTCCGTTTCACAGCTGGCTCAGGGCGCTTGGAGATTGGCTTTGCCTTTGCTTTTGAAGGCTTGGGTACATTTCCAGACCGTTCGACTAGGCCCTTGCCCGTCGGTACGACTGGCTTGAAAGGTTTTGTTTTGGGTTGAAATTTTTGTACAATTGGTTCCGGAGGTGGCTTTAGTATCTCTGGGTCGAATTTCTGCGTATATGTATTGGTGGGATCCTCGTCTATGGTGGTGAATTTCTGAAACAGCCGTACCATGCTTTTGGTTGCTCTGCCGTGTTTTACGTATCGTGTCTTTGTTAGATTACGCTGGAACGCTGGGAATTTGTCTGTTCCAGGTATAGTAATGTGCTCCATCTCTTCGTCAGTGCCGTATACGGTTTTGAATCGGCGATTGAGTTCTCGCTCTTCGCTGGTATTTAAAAGGCCAGCTTCAGGAACCGTTAATAACGGCGCCAGCTCCTCCGTGGGAACATCCTCCTCTTGTTCCTCCGAATCATCCTTTCCTATTCTCGATGCTTTTACAAAGCCCGTCTTAACACCCTCAGGCATGAAAAAAGGCTTCACTATTTTTGCTTTTTTGCCTGGCTTTGCACGAGTCCGCTTCGTTTCCGGCTGAGTGTTCTCAACTGGTATTTCAATCACCTTCTTATCGACAACTGGTTGGATGTCTCTAGGTAGTATCCGCGGTGATTCATCGTGGTGGTAGACGAATTTATTACCAGACTCGATTTCATTCTGGATAAAGCGGTAATCGTCCCATGCCCTTTTGTAATTCTCTTCTTCCTTTCCTTTGCTAAGCAAGACGAGGACATGTCCCTCACGTTTACGCCCAGTACGGCCCATGCGTTGGAGCTATGGCCAGAAATTTAGGACTTGCTGATTAACTTTATAAAGGGAGATTTTTCGTACCATACGGATAGGTGTTTTGTTTTGATCATAGCAAACAATCATATCAACTTCACCAATATCCAAACCCTCCTCACCAATGCTAGTAGCAACAATTACATTATATATGCCCTGTTGGAATTTTTTGATGATCTACATGTCCTGTAATTAGCAGTGTTTCTACGCTGTTATCTGGTTAGAATAGAGAATCCAACCTCTATTTGATCTTTCTGTTTCATTCCGTCAGCTGTCTTTGAATCCTGCTGTCCAACAAAAATATGCGGTTTGATCATTGGCTCATGTTTCTTAAGCACCCTCACAACCTCTTCCGCACTGCTCCTGTAACTTGTGAATACCATGATTCTGGTCTCTCGCTTCTCATCCATATCTGCAGCGTCTGCAAAATGCTTCAATATTGCCCCGGCCATGTAGTCTAACTTTGGGTGTCCTGAGAAGTCTTCATCCACTATCATTCCCTGTGCACGTCTCATGACCTTTTGAAATTTTTCATCATTAATGAACCCAAGCTTCGACTTTGCGCCATCCCCAGATAATATCTCATTCTGAATATTTACCAAGCTGTGATAGAAAACACGAATTCCATGTTCTGTGAGATAATGCAGTGGCAGCGCCAAGGACGATAGAAATGAAAACGCATTCATTAGCATGCCCTTAAGTCCCCGGTTTGCGGTTCGGCCGGCATTGGACGCCATCCAGTCCCGGGACGCTTTATTGAGACCATACATGGTTAGCGATTTAGGGTCAGTGACCCAATAGGCCTTTGCGTCGTTCAGTTTTTTGAGGAGAGGCTGTAGGCACTCGCAATACAGATCGCGGAGAAAAACAATTTCTTCGGTGAGCTCAAAAACTTGGGTCACTATGTGTTTCTTGAAAACATATGGTTGAATATCCATGGATTCAAGATTCCTAATTTCGACTCTAGCGATGCCAAGTGAGTCGATAACCTCTTGAACTTTGTCGATTGTGGCACCCGGAGTAGCTGTAAGTGCTAATACACGAAGAGAAGTATTTGCTTTTCGAATCTGATTAACCACAGTTGCGAACGCGTAGTTCCCAGTGGCCTTATGAGCTTCATCGATCACCAGGCAGACAATCCTCTTCGGATTGCAGATCCCGCGGGAAATATCATTCTGCATTGTCTGTGGGGTGAGGAAAAACACCCTTCTCTCTTCCCAATACTCTCGGCGCAGATCGGCATTCACGGCACCTGTCAGCTCTGCTGTCTGACTTCTCGGAATACCGGCAATGTTGTAGCATGCATCGATCTGTTGGGCAACCAATGGTTTGGTCGGTGCTAAAAATGCTATCTGAGACTCGGGAGCCCATCGGAACCAATTGAGCATTACGGTTGCAGCAATAAAGGTTTTCCCGAGACCTGCATGTATTCACAAAATCGCTTAGCTCGATTCGGGGTGAGTGGAGTGAGGGTATCTTTCAGCGTACCGGTGGGCAGAGCTACGAGAATATTGGAGAACAATGCTTTGTGAACAATTGAATACTGGTACTCTCGATGACTAACATTGGATGGGTAGACCCATGTTTTCGCAGCTTCTCGGTCAATCTTGTGGTGTGTCGGGGGCTCTTGAGCTTGAGTGCTAGCCAGCGGATAGTTGTGGACATTTTGGGGACGAGCTGAGGACCCCGGAGGTTCGTCTGGGACTCTTCCACCGAAGAGAGTAGCCTGACGGAGCTGCCCAGTGGACGGCGGAGGTCTTTGAGACCCATAGTCCGACGATTGCGGTGCTACCAAAGCACCTGTGATCTCGACGTCGGAGTCAAAATCGTCTGGAAGGAACAGATTATTATCTCCGCCACCATTGCCATTCACATCCCCAACGCTGCTAGTCCGTTGATTCTGCTGTGGTGGTCGCTGGTGAGAATGGGCAGCCTGTTCGGCTTGGGTAGCAGCTGCTATAAGTTCATCGTCGTTAATATCCCCAAAATCATCGCTCCCAAAGTCGTCGTCACTGTCCATAGCGGCGGTTGTCTTATTGTCGTTTGCCGCAGTTTGCAGGAAGACGCGTTGGATCGCGTAAACCGCGACGCTTATTCATCCAAATCTTGGCGGTACCGGCCTACATATCACACACAGCCTATCGTGCAACCCCATGCAAGTGCAAATTACGGTAAGATATCTCTGGCATAGAGTATTGCGTTTTCAAATCAGTGCACTTTAATAACGAACAATGAAGTCATCGTGGGCTGGGGAGTTATTTGTGGGGGAGCCACACGCACGCGCTCCCGAAATGAAGGGGATTTAGCGAGCTGAAAACGAACAGACACTCAGCTCAAGAGCTCCAAACCTCTAAATATCAGAAAAAATACTCAAAATACATAACGGCATTGGATCTTTAATCCAACTCCACTAGTCCGATGTTTTTGAACAAGAAAAAGGAATCTATGTACGCATTATCCGATGATCGTATTTCCCTCGTGCGACTTACTGGTTCCAGGTACGAGAACGCCCTAGGTTGGTTCTGATACATACATGTCTCCTAGGAAATACATGTAACCCGAACCAACCCCTTTATGCGTTCTGTAGGAGTACAGCCGACCACGACTCACAAAAATTGGTAATGATATTTAACTGCTAACAACAGAAATTTACCAGAGCGCTGCTTCAACGCTTGCTTAGATCTTGTGACATTGTGACATTGTGTCATGTACCTGCCTTCAATGGCCTGAGCCTAGATCACGCGCTGGGGAAAAATCACCAGAATTCTCGGGCATAGGACAATCCTCTAGACCCCTTCGGTATGCCGAATGCAGCTCTTCATCACAGACTTTAGAGTACACAACCCCTCCTCGGTTTTCCGATTACTCGGTACATAGTGCCGGATATTGCAATGTTTACTTTGGAGCAAAGGAAGGGATCCCTACATGTACCGTTAGCGACCTGGAAGCAAGGTTCCTATCCACATAAACATTAGAGTATTTATTTAGGGTATGCCAACGCTTTGAGGAAGTGATGATCACTGATCAGGAGAGTGTGGCCCGGGAAGGTCGGCTGTATTGGCACTTAATCCGATTGCAAGGCTCGTAGAGGACTGTAGAACGCAAAGGAATCATGGGACTGCATGTACGTAATCTCCTTTCTCTCTCTGTTAACAGTGGTTCAAGACGAGTCTATGATGTTGAAAACGTATCTATTCAATACAGGCGGCTGTACGCGCAGTGCCTTTAAATCTAAAAAATTAAGTACATGTAGGTACACACACTGAAGGCACATACCTAAAGTAACAGCCAGCATTGATAACCCGTATTCCAGATAGAGATCCATGAAAAGGGTTGCCAGGAAACAAAAATGTGTAATTGCCGCGCCGAGGTTGGCTCTAATTTATCCACGACCACTGGATTGGACAGAAATCAGAGAGGCTTACAAAAATAGTAAATGCTGCATCACATTGGGATGTATGGCTTGAAGCCAAATGAGTAACCCCTGCGACTGTGAAATTAGACAGTGAACTAAATCCCCTATCCCGCCCCCAGTTGCAGGGACTTGAACGATGTAGCTGCCCGTTAGTCGCACATCGTTTGCCCAGGCCTGCAGGGGCAGAAGTGGAAAAGAGTTCGTCTTTTTTTGTCTCACACAATGCACCCCAGTCCCATAGTTTTTCCTGCCATGCATCCCTTGCCCCATTCTATGCTCTACACCCACAGACATCCACAGTACTTAAACTGGTGACTTCTCGTCTCTTCTGTTTCCCTTCCTTCTCATCAGTCCACACTCGCTCCAATCTGCACCTCGTACTTACTTACTCTAATACCTCCTAATAACTGCTCTTCAGCAAACCACAAGAAGTAACCTTTCTCTTCACCCATCACTAGCAAATATGAGATTCTCCGCCATCCTTCTGTCCGCTGGCTTCGTTGCCCTTGCTGCTGCTCAGTCATCGTCGACAACCACTTCCGCCGCTCCTAACCCAACCACCATTTGCCTCAATGCTTGTGACACCGGCGATGTAACTTGCCAGGCATCCTGTGTGGGTGTCCCGGCCCCAGATGCCTCGATGGTCAATGCGACCAACGAATGTGCCGCCGCTTGCCCTCAAGGCGTAAGTTAACAATGTAATTCTCGAGTGATAAGCCGTGAACTAACTGAGAATGAATAGAACGGCACCGCCGCAGAGACTGATGCCTTCTCTAAGTGCGTTCAGTCATGCATCACTAATGAGTTCTTGTCGACCTCTGCCGGTGCTGGAGCTACTGCCACTGGAACTGGAACTGGAACTGCTGCCACAGGATCTGGATCGTAAGTTCTTCAGCCCAGGAAATATAACTTGGGCTTTGAGTGCTAATTGATGTGCTCCAATAGATCTCAAACTGCCACTGGAACTGGATCGTCCGCCTCAGCCTCTGGCACCTCCGGTACTTCTACACGCTCAGGATCTGGCTCTTCTACCGGGACCGAAACCGCTAACGCTTCTGCCACAGCTTCGGATTCCGCTGCTGCTGGATACACCGTAACTGGTTCCTTCATCGCCCTTTTCGCCGTTGCCGCCGGTATCATTGTCTTGTAAACACCACAAGGAGTTTCTGGGTAGTATGGATAGGTTCAGGGTCTTAATGTGCTTCTTCTGCGGCCCTGTACGCTATGTGCTTTAATCAGGAGAATTGAAGTGAATTTTCGACAAGAAAATCAATCCTCTTCTTTTTTCTCTATTTTTTTATGTTTATCTTTTTCACTGGTGTTTTTCGGTTCTGATGTATTTTTTCGGCCTATTCTTTTAACAACGGTTTGGGTGGTCATGATCTCAAAGGATATCGGTGAGGCGGTTTTAATGTTGGGTCAATTATGAAAATTGGGGGGGTGGGCTTGGATTGGATTTGGTGGGCACTTCTTGTGCGTGTGTGTACTATTATTCAGGAACCGTTTGTAAAAAAAAATGGAAAACAAAACAAAAACAAAAAACATTCAAGTACTGTGTTTGTGTGTCAATTCCTCACTACGGTACATGTCTCGCGTCAGACTGCAACGGCTGGAGTCAGGGTTAGGGATTGGGATTGGGGTTTTTTCCCTAATAGAGATTACTTACCGATCTAGGAAACGGTAGGCTAAGGATCCGTGAAACGCTAGATACAGGCATGTGACGTTCTACGAGCGGAATAAGAAAAGGAAAACAACAACAAGAAGCTGGTGGTTGCGGTGGTATGTGGTGTTGTGCAGGTGGGAAATTGGCTATTTTGATCACCTCCTCAAAACGAAATTAGAAACCCACATACGAATCAAAAAGCTTGGTAGCAACCGCGCTGCGTCGCGTGCACCCACTCTGCCCACCTCACCTAACTACTACCACCTACCTTACAACAGTCGCCATACATCCGCCCCAAGCTTCTCGCCGCCCCACCCCACGTTGTCTGCCCGGCGCGTCTCCTTCCTCTATTACCCACCCAACACCCAACCCAGGGATTCAGGCACCACACCTCAATCACACCCTTACATAGTAACTTCATAGCAATAGCTCAATACGCTCGAGCTTCTCCCCCCCACCCCTCCCACCCCTCCCCCCTCCATTGACCGTACCACCGGCAGGATTCACTAGTCTTCCAGAACACGCCGAAACAAGATGGACGTGAAACCAGACATAAAGCCGAAGACCATTGCGCCAGGCGCTCCACTCACAATAATAGTGCGCTCTCAACAGCATGGTGAGTATAGCAAAGCATTCCATCCACCCCCCAAAGCTACCCCATGGACTGCTATCTACCAAGCTACATGTACCTACCTGCTGCTGTATTGCTAGCTACATAGCTTGTCTGGTGTGATGTTGTGTTAATTGCGGGGCGCACAATATTTAGGTGAGCTGGCGTTCAAGATCAAGTCCAGTGCCCCGTTCTACAAGGTTGCCAATGCGTACTGCAAGACCAAGGGCATCAACCCGAGCAGTGTGCGGTTCCACTCGGACGGGGTCAGGCTGGTGAATGACAAGACGATTGCTGAGGTATGTGCGCTGGTGGTGGTTGATGGTGATGGTGATGGTGGTGTGGTTGTCGAGCGAGGCTGCGTTACTAATAGTACTGGTGTGATATTAGTTGGATCTAGAGCCGGAGGAGGATGAAGACGGTTTAAAGGTATACATCGAGGCGTTTTTGGAACAGGTCGGCGGCGATGGAGGTCGTTGTAGTAAGTACTAAGCGCATAAAATGCCATTCAAAACCCATGATCAAAATTTCCCTATGTGGTATGCAGAGAAGCGGATATGACGGGTGTGCCAATGCTTTCTTTTGCGGGTTTTTGTGGGTGCAGGTGCAGGTGCGGGTGCGGGTGCGGGTGCGGGTAGGGGGTTGGTTTAGGTTTACTTCACTGCTGTTCTAGGATGATCCCACCGCAACCATGATGTGTTATTTTTAGCTCCCCTCGTTCATTTTTTTTTTTTTTTGATTACCCCGTATTCACTCAAATAAATATCATGATCAGCAGCATATGGGGGCCGTGAATAATTAATTTGCTCTAGCATGATATAACCTCAATAATTCTCTCATCTACGTATTGTACCTACATAAACTAGAGAGGGATCTCCGCTGTACAAAGTCTCTACGTTTTCCCTCCTCTCACATGATCCACAATGTATGGTGGTTAGATTCTGGTCATGATCTTTTTTGCTTCGTTTTACCTGGCGATGTTGAGCTGTTGCTACTCCTCAACGGGTGCAATGGGGCCTGCTGGATCCAGTCCGAGCTTGTGCATCTCGACAGCGAGCTGGAAAAGATAATCAAGACTGCCACAGCACACACATACGTCAGAGTCAATTTACAATCAGCTGCGTGGGGAAAAGCGTCTCACCTTTCACACTGTGTTTTGGCTTTCCAGACAGTGTCACCCCACACATAACTTGATTCTCGTCAGCACCCTAAATCTCAGAAACAGCCGGGCGGGGATGGGAGCATACACTCCATGTCTCCTAACCAGCACCGCGCATGTGTCGGGATACTCATTCATAGCCTGCTCCAAGCTATCCCTCAGATCCTCCTCACTGCATGCCCAACCAATATTAATAAAGCACCCTTTCCTTAACTCTCTCAGATCCCACTTGACAACTCACTGCGCCGTATTCTCAATAATCGGTATCGTCAATGTATCAAAATATCCGCAATACCCTCCCGTACTCGGCTTCGGTATCGCCTTGATCTGCTCGATATTCGCAATCGAGAAGGTGCGCCCGCGACTAATGAGCGTGCAAGTACCGCCGCCTGCGAATGCGTGTGGATGCACGCTCCCGCACCACGCTTCGTGAAAGCCGCCATGAACAGCGGCGTGCATGCTGATGGCTTGAGCTCCAGTGGCCGCCGAATGTACTCCTTGGTGGTGAAGTCCATGACAAACATGTTTTCGGGCGCTAGGCGCTCCTTCTGTACGCCAGAGGGGGCGAGGAAGACATGGTCGGCGTGGCGGATGGAGATGCCGCCGCCGGTGCCGGTTACCTAGGATGGTTTGTTAGTTGGGGTCATGATGCGCTGCGGGTGCGGGTGCGGTGGGTGGCTTCTTACCCAGCCATGGTCGTAGAAGTTCCTGCAGAGGCTGCAGATGAGGTTTGCGGGGTGATTGGGGTCTGGCGGGGGGTTAATAGGTGTTTTTTTGCACTTGCGGGGCTAGTTTGAAGTCACTATGGAGCAGAGATATAGTAGCTAGTCTCGGGGCTTCTGAAGTGCAAGTTCCCGAGAGCAATTTCTGAATATATCGGCTTCAAATCGGCGGGCGCATGTGTGTATAGATAGATATTGGCTGAATTGGCTTACCTTCTGAGCGCACGAGCGCATCGTTGTTTGTGCTGTCCGCCATTGGGGGGGTGGTTTGCGATTCGTCGAGCGGGCGCGGGGGCGGGGTTGGCGGGGAGAGGAAGTTATCGTCGTTCGTTTCTCAGGATCCAATCCAGTGTTGACGCCATTTTGTTGCCCACTACGTATCGAGGATTTTGTGCACCCTGGTGGCTGTGCTTAGCTGGTGCACGGACAGACAGGTGCAGCTAGGTAGACAGGCGGCCCAGAGTAATCAACCGCTTGGCACTGGACATTTTTATGGTTGTGAGCAAAAGCAAAACAGCTGGACTCAAATTGCAGCCGTCGATCTGAGGGGTGGATCGAGAGAGGTTTCCATAAACAGGAGATGTTCTTCATGTACTTCTACGTAATAAATCACATTGTCCTGCGGCTGATCTGACGGTGTGGGTTAATATGCAAAATCGATCATTGCCGATGAAGATCGAGGCTCTCACCTAGGCTGAACGCGCACACCAACTAACATTTTTTGGTGACAAAAATAGAACTTTCGTTTTGATGATTGTGGGAAGTTTGGGGGCCTTCGAGAGTGGGATTTGGTAGACCGAATCAGGCGTTGGGACTCAACAGTAGCACGGCTCTCGATCTGCTGTTTAGCTTCCTGTATGATTGGGCGACGCACGTACTTCTCAGTAAGTGCTATTTACCACAAGTGTGTTTAACTTTCAAACAACCAAGACACATGTACAAGGCTCTGGCATTAAGTGAGTGAACTAAATGGGGTGTTGACTGGTGTGGATCCGTTCACTCACTTAATCCCAGAGCCTTGTACGTACTGTGCTATGACAAATTTGCTGATTCTGCCCTCTCTAAACTCACCCATAAGAACCTTATATCTGAAAAAGGTGCTCCGATGATATTCGTGGCGATCATGATCATAGTTTCATATTAAGGATTGGATGTGTGAAGAAGCGAGAAACAGAACGAGACAATGGTCTGCCAATTGCAACTGTGGGACCCCCTTGGGAACACGAGCTCAGCCCCATGACCTTTGTTCGGACTTAATATGAAGTCAGAAGTGTATCCAAGAAAGACAGTTTTGCTACTGCAGGTTAAGGCCTGTTATAACTACTTTGGTAGACTGTCAATACAAGCATGTTAGTAGATTGCGTCATAGGAAGTCACTCGGATGAATTGTCATATACTCAACATACATGATGTATTTCATAAAGACAGTTTGGCAACAATAATCGTAAAGAGCCTAGAGTGCCTCGTCTTAAATGACTCCAAGAATATCGCTGTCGTCGCCATCGAGAGTATATCCCCATCCAGGGGACCGCACGTGTGCCTAGAACTCCATGTTCTGATAACTGTTGGCATAATGCCAAAGTCACTTCTTATAAGTACACTAGCTATATATAGGAGGCATAGGAGTTTCAATGGGTTGATAACAAAAACAGCATGAGAGGGTTGAAAAAGTACTAGGGTGTAGCGAAAAGTGACCGGAATCTGATAAGACAAACACACGTATTCACCACAGCATTTACTTATTAGATTCTGATCACTTACCCTCAACACCCGGTACATGTAGGGTGAGATTGGTGATTTGGCTCTTCTCTCGACAAAGAGCTAACTACATGTAGCGATATAGTTGCAGATCGGACAAGCGTCCACATGGCAGTGACAGGCGCCGATAGGTGTCGACATGACAGGTTTGAACAGCCCAGTACATGTATGCACATGATCCAACAAGAGGTGTCTCCTTGGCGATCGAGTGATGATCTGTGATTACATTACGCAATGCTGCCTACACGCACACACACACACACACGCATATCATGGTAGGCATAACGCATGAGGCACAGAAAATAAGGTTTGATATGACATAAATGACAGGCCTTAAGAGTACATATAGTCACAGAAAATGCTATCCTTGCCATGGAACCGCTGTTACACCACCACCGACCCACCCCACCATTCGTCTCCCCTTTCTTCCCCAATTATCTCCGTAAGGAAAGTTAAACTCCAACTCTCCTAGGCCTTCCCCCCAAGTAACAACAGAATAAATAGACAACTATAACAGGCGGTGCCAAAAACTCGGGCCTGTGGATAGGTTGTATCCCATAATCCGGTGCTTAGATGCTGTCTATTTGACAGAATATTATAATGACTAAAAGAGGAAGGGTGGCGGCCGAATATGTGTGTGATCCAGACACAAGCCACAGCTGAAATACGCCGCCTGAATCAATAGGCAGCTTTAACGGACTATGGGATAACTCATAGGGGAAAGTTGTTCATGAGAAACGTACAGGATGTAGGATACTCCAGGACCTCCATAGGACTATAGATCCTATTCGGTCGCTGATTTATGTGTAAAATACGGCAAGTTGCTTCTTAGCAGAATGACGGCCGATACGACAAGCGGATTGGACATCCATTGATGAAGAAGGGGGGGGGGGGGGAACCCATATACCTGTTCTCCATCATGCAAGACGCTTTAAAATCTACTTATCGTGTATTACTGGGGGTAAATACATGTAGTATACTGATAGTCTCAAGGCCAGATAATCTTTCTTGAGCACACGCCGGTCTAGTTAGTATAGAGCAAGGGCAGCCCTGTGGATAGACCCTTTTTGGGGTTTCTCGGCTTGAGCCATTGTACCTCCGCAAGTCGCATTACTGGATGTTATGAAGATAGGTAGGCCGGGCTAATCACTCTCACTGGCGTTGCAGCAAGCAAACCTACATATGGTAGACGAACCAATGAGGACCTGCTCCAATTTTGCTGGCGGATCTGGTGTATGAACTAAAGATGCCGGAGCCATTTATCCTTGGTTTCTCCGGTTTGGAGGTATGTGTCTTTTCTTGGTGAAAGAGATAAACTCGGCGCTGTTCGATGTCCCGGAGACAGACCAATAACTATAGGAATCTAGAAACCCACATCTACACCATGGGGGGTGCGAGCTCATGGGGATTTTCCGCGCGAAAATACTGGATCGAAATCAACAACTATGTGAGACCCGCGGAATGAATTAAAGATTAGCATTGGCCAATAGTCCCCTTGCTTTTGACGTAGTATGGGTAAGACTATATGCAAATCAAGGACTGTCACGAATCAAAGATTAAGGCTTGGGATTGTTCCGGTCGATCTAACTCGCTAACAATGAATGGCTGATTGCTTATCGTCTACCTGGCTGTATATGTTCTTTCCTAGTCGGGAAACTCACTAGAGGCAGATGGACAATGATGGTTTCAGGAAATGAGCCCATCTATACTGACTGTAAATCGTCTTGACAACAGGGAAGAGAGCTAGTAATAGTGATAAGGGTCCAACCCCAGATATTGGTTTGCGGGTAAGCGCAGATATGAGACCCCCGTGAATCAATTTTAGGTGCGCTACTGAAAACCATGAAACAGAACCAGCAGCGGGGAACACTCTCTGTACTCCAATCACGACTAGAGTAAATATGGATGGAGCCCGCCTGGCATGGTTGGTAGTATCATGAACATTTTGGGTGACTAACGACATGCATGATTTTGAATTTAACATGCTTGCTTCACCAAGGAAGATTTGATGCATGGATTACTTTCTGCCCACAGGAATTGAAGGGGCACTTGGCTAATATTTACTTTTCCCAACTCACTGTCACCGGATAAAGATTGACTGAGTTTAAGGGTCACCGAGTGATAATCAGTGAGTGAAATGTGGAGAAAGAGGCTTTCGCCGATGGAACATTTGGGAGGAATAAGACTAGGGTTAATGCACCCCGAACGCCGAAGATTGATCCGGTAGGCTAAACTATTTACTGGGGAACCGTTGACCGCGATATTGGTACGGAGTGGTCTCAGATTTTGAAAAGGGCTGTTGATATGTGTCCTTTGTCAGCTTTCCCAGGAGATCCGTTTGTGAGAGTTTGGCCCCAGGAACAAGATCTGGATCTTGGGTGCCGGATAATTATCCGGGTATTCCCCGTGCTCATGTAGGAGATTAACTGCCGAATAGTTTTCTTACAAATAAACAGGTCTGTATAGGTCATGTCAGGGCACTCAGAGCTTGATAGATAACGATAGCAATGGTGGGGAAAGACAGACGTCTTGCCGGCCGGCCGGCGTGGGATCCTAGAGTAGGTCCTCACCTCTCCCCGAGTGTCAATGGCCCTTTTTATACTTGTTACAAGTGCCCTCTTCTTTTGCATAGGAGGTGGAGCGTGCTTTATGGGTCCTCGCTAGAATTCATGCAGTTGGGATATCAAAGATTCAATGCAGATCATGAATCTGTTTCTGCCGTGCCTTCGATTAGCATGTCTGTGAGAGCTAAAGGTAGTTTGAAAAGTCGGTAAAGTAGGCTTGTCTCTTCAGATGAGCGGGTGCCTTAACGAGCCGCAGGGCATATGTTTCACAGTACGGCGATGGAAGGTTGTAGAAGCTCTAAATGCACTACGGGGAAGCTGTAGAAAGAGCAAAACGTGTCCTCAACCACATTGAGACTAGCGCCATCCCATCTCCCACACTAAACCCAAAACACACGACGCCTTAAGCTAACCCACACTTCAAAGGTGGCCTCTTCTGAACTTTACAAGAACCTCGACCTTCACCTTCAACTCTTCTTGCCGTTTGCTCTTCCTCTTCCATACTCATTCTCTGTCTCACCAATTTCACGCATACATTTCCCTTATTTACAGGTATCAACTGCATTCGTTTTTTGTCTTTAGTACTTGCTAGTCCCATTTAATACAATCAAGATGCGCTTCGACGCTCGTGTCGCCTACGGGCTTATGTCCGTTGCTCTGATGGGTTTTGGGGGTGTTATGGCCGACGACATTGATGATGCTCTCGGTGACGCCGCCTCTGTGGTGAGCTCAGAGGCCGCCGCAGCCATTTCCGCAATCGCAAAGCCTGCATTCACTGTAAGCTCCCTCCCAGCAATTATTGTAAGCTAGCTAGGAGTCAATTCTGACCTTTTAACTTTAAAAATAGCCTACCGTAATTCAGGCGCCTTTCTTTGAGCAATTCACCGAGGGCTGGGAGTCTAGGTGGAAGGTTTCACATGCCAAGAAGGAAAACGACAAGACCGGAGACGAGGAGTGGACCTACGTTGGAAAATGGTCTGTCGAGGAGCCTACCACGCTGAAGGGAATTGAGGGTGATGCAGGTCTTGGTAAGTTATTCTAAGCTCGAAATTAAAGCTAAAGGTTACTAATAATTCTTTACAGTTGTTAAGGACGTTGCTGCTCATCATGCCATCTCTGCAAAGTTCCCTAAGCCCATTGACAACAAGGGGAAGACTTTGGTCGTACAGTACGAAGTCAAGCTTCAAAGTACGTTTATCAACACATCTCTATCCAATTCCCTCTTGTACTGACTTTGTGCGCACTAGATGGTCTGGAATGTGGTGGTGCCTACCTTAAGCTTCTTAAGGAGAACGCAGATCTCCACGCCGAGGAGTTCTCAAACTCTTCGCCTTACGTGATCATGTTCGGTCCCGACAAGTGTGGTGCTACCAACAAAGTCCACTTCATCTTCAAGCACAAGAACCCAAAGACTGGTGAATACGAGGAGAAGCACTTGAAGACCCCACCAATGGCTCGCATTACTAAGCAGTCAACTCTCTACACCTTGATTGTTAACCCCGATCAGACCTTCGATGTTCGCATCGACGGTACCTCTGTTAAGAGCGGAAGTCTTCTTGAAGATTTCTCGCCCTCCGTTAACCCCCCTGAAGAGATCGAGGATCCCAATGATAAGAAGCCCGAGACTTGGGTCGACAAGGCCAAGATGGCGGATCCCGAAGCCAAGAAGCCTGAGGACTGGGACGAAGAGGCCCCATACGAGATTGTTGACGAGGATGCCGAGAAGCCAGAGGATTGGTTGGAGGATGAGCCTGAGTTTATCCCAGACCCAGAATCCGAGAAGCCCGAGGACTGGGATGATGAGGAGGATGGTGATTGGATCCCACCTACCGTTGCAAACCCTAAGTGTGAAGATGCTAGCGGATGTGGCAAATGGTCGAAGCCCATGAAGCCCAACCCAGCGTACAAGGGTAAATGGACCGCTCCTCTTATCGACAACCCAGACTACAAGGGACCATGGGCACCTCGCAAGATCCCTAACCCTGACTACTTCGAGGACAAGACTCCTTCCAATTTTGAACCCATGGGCGCTCTCGGGTTCGAGCTCTGGACCATGACTAAAGATATTCTCTTCGACAACATCTACATTGGTCACTCAGTTGAGGATGCCGAGAAGCTTCAGAAGGAGAGCTTTGACATTAAGAAGAAGATCGAGGCTGAGGAGGATGCTGCATCAGCCCCCAAGGTTCCGGAGCCCCCCAAGCCTCTCGGAGAGACTACTTTCCAGGAGGATCCCGTTACCTTCATCAAGGACAAACTTGAGCTCTTCTTCGCCGTCCTTAGGAGAGACCCCATGGCTGCTATCCAGACTCTTCCAGAGGTGGCTGGTGGTCTGTTGGCCGTTGTTGGTACTGTTTTGGCGATCTTGTTCAGCTTGATCGGCATGGCGAGTTCCCCAGCCAAGGTTCCTGCCGCGAAGCCTGTCGAGGCTAAGAAAGCTGAGACTGGATCAAAGGGCAAGAAGGAAGCTGAGGCGTCGTCTACCGAGAGCGAGAAGCCAAAAGCTACTCGACGGGCGTCAAAGAAGGCCGAATAGACTGTTAATGTACAATAATTTAATTACCCCTTCGGTCGGCTTCTAAGCGTGCAGTGTAGGGTTGGAATTGGGTTTTTTCTTTCTATTTCTTTCTTGTTTTGGGTTGTTACGGCGATGAAATGTGGTGGTGCGCGATGGGGGTTCTTTCTGTTTTCCGGATTTTATCATAGCATTTTTCTTTCTGGTTTTTCTTGTCTTTCCAGTTGAGACCCGTTCGCTCTCAGCTTGTAGCTTTAGGTTCGTGAGCATTCAAAAGTTATGAAAGTACACTTCCAACAATTGTATAAATGTCCCAAGGTGATGTGTGCAGATGTGTCTGACTGTAGAGATGCTATATCTCTCTTGTTGGTGAGTATATACTCCGGCCAAACTTCAGTATGTGGTAGTAGAGGTGTAATAGACGTCTTGGGGGGTCGTTCAAGCTCGACTCTCATACTCTAGCCCTGCAACAAAAAGTGTCTTGTATGAACTGGGTATTCTCAAAGCTCTAAATCAGATTATGGACCGGATTCGGTTACTACATGTAGGTACTTTCTCTGACTAGCTGCTGGCTCTATTATTGGGAGGAAATTTGTTAAGGCCAAATCAAATTCAGCAAAACTACACTTGTTTCTGAGAGACTAGACGTAAGCAAGGCTATCCCAGCACCATATACGCCACGTGCACGATGAACTCTTGAAAATAGAGGAGGTGGATATAGGCAGTTGTAGTGATGGGCATATTGTTTTCTGCGGACTTGCTACTTGTTCTTATTACTGTGTCAAGACAACGAGTTTAATTAGTTGCCTGATAAATACGTGTTCTTTGTCCACTATAAAAGCTAGGGGCTTATTCCCTCTACTCTTGTAATAATCAATATAGTACAATAGGGTTCTCTTCACTCTCTTCTAAACTGCGCCCTGGATAACAGTGCAACCTTCTGCATAACCTACACGTGTGTATGTGTGTGTGTTCTATTAATTAGGGCTGTCTTGACCCACCCGTAAGTCATCCTATCCATTAAAGTATAAGAGTAGGTCTAACCATGGAGTATGCTATTCATCGAGTGGCTGCTATATTATATCCACTCAAATTTTCATTAGAAATATCGCCATACAGAATGTCACATACCAGACGCCTTTGTGCATTATTTGTCTTACTACTTGGTGCACCATAAAGCTGGTTTATATGAGAAATAAACTGCCACGGCAGGCCTGGCGATGTGCAAGACTTAAGAGCTCCACGCAACAGCTGTGTCTTCTACCGTTGACACGGTAATAAGGTCTATCGTAGACATGCATGCGGTTAAGGAAGTATTGCTGAAGTAGTATAATCATTTCTTGATATCGATCACGGCTGCTGATATATACTTTATGCAGCTATATATAAACTACATGTAATCAACTAAGACTCTGCACTTTTATATTCGATGAGTCTCGATGTGTATGCTACGTCAATACCAAGGGAATCTGAGACAAACACGTGATACTATAATTTCCTGCATAATTAATCATTGCCGCCTATTATTAAACCTACACACATTAACCCACCAATTCCTAACCTACCATCATCCCTCAAGTAAGCTTACTCCTATCATACTGATCCGCATCTACACCACATACCAGTTAGCACCCCTTACCCCCCTCCCCCTCTCACCCCAGGAGCAGAACAAAACTCACCCGGATGCACTATCGGCTCCACCAGCCCCCTCCTCAACTCCCTCTTCCTCGCACTCTCCACCCCCCACCTCTCATCGCGCTCCTTCATCAGCTCATCCAAGTGTGCCGAACCCTCCGTCGTCGCCATCATGAGCTTCGGCTCCCCCATCGGTAGCCTGTCCCCCCGGTCCACCTGCCACAGATGGTACGTCTTTCCGTACAGCTTTATCGTACTCTCCATCTCCTTCGTCTCGGCCTTCTCCCACAGCGCCAGCGGCACGCCATTGGGGCAGGGCATGATCAGCTGCCCGGACTTGACCTCAAATACGTGCGAGTGCCACAGCGCGCGCTCGGCCGCCGGCAGCGTCTCGTACAGCGGCGGCGTGATCATGTATTCGATCCCGACCAGCCGCGCGTTGGGCTCGTTTGAGTCGTAGAGGAGGCATTGGCGCACATCTGTTTGTGTGTTAGTGTTGTGTGTCATGGGTTCTCACTCGCAGGGAGGGGATAGGGACCGGAGGAGATGTGGGAGCAGTAGTGGTTAGTCTCAATTTTGCGCGAGGGGTCGTCGGCGTAGATGTGGAATGCGTTGAGGTGGGCGCAGATGTTCTTGACGGGTGCGAAGTCTTGGGTTATGCTGGCGGCCGTCTCGAGGATGGAGTCGCCGATGGGGATGGGCCCGCCGGGGACTTTGGGGTCGGTTTCGTGTTTGGCGCAGCTGGTCATTTTGTGTTGGGTATGTTGGTGAGTGTTATATCTTGGAGTGTGGGAGAGTATCGAGGTTTCTGGGAGTAGTTGGTTAGCTGGTGCTGTGGGGCGAGGGTCTTGATATAGGTTGTGAATAACTGACGTCATACTGATGGAAGGGGTGATGATTGCGGGCCCTGGTTTTTAGTTCACGTAGATCAGATTCGTAGACGAATGCGCATCAGTGGAGTGATAGTGTAGGTACACGGCAGCCTGTAATTTATTTAATAAGAAAAAAAAAATACTACAGAAAACTTTTCCGCAAAAAGAGAAAAAACATTATAGACCCAACCCAATAGTTATCTACAACACAAAAAAAGGAATGGAAAAAAAGATAAAAACGTGAAAGAAAAATCATTACCACCAACCCCCTCCATCTACTACTACTCCTTCGCAATAATCATAGCCTCTCTCGCCGGTACCCTCCTCATCTTCCCCTTCTTGCTATGCCTCCTCTCGTTCTCCTCCCTCCGCTTGATGCTCGCCTCCTCCACTTTCTTGATCTCGCCCGCCTTCTTGATTGTTTTCGGCACATGCCTGTGTCTGGCGATTCTTCGAATCTCAGGCATGTGCTTGTAGCGCTCCTTGAGGGCCGCGTCATACTCGAGCTTGACACGCTCCTTTGCAGAGCGCACATGCGAGCGTGCGGAGGCCTCGGCGCGCCAGAGACGGATGTTGCCGTCGTCGCTGCCCGACAGGATGTAGCGCGTGTCGGTGGTGAAGGCGACGGAGAAAACGCGCTGCATGCGCTTGGTGTGGTAGATGTCTCTGTCAATGATCGTCAGTATACCACCCGTAAACCACATAGAAAAAACCACCACCACAACAGCCAGATGTGTGCATGCATACCTCGAGTGCCCCTCCCGGGTCTTGAAGATCCTAATCGTCCTATCATAACTCCCCGTCACCAGCTCCTCCCCTGTCGGCGAATAGTCCACATCCATGACGGCCGCCACATGGTCCTTGAGAATATTCAGCGCGCGGCCCAGCTTGCGCATATCCCACACATAGGCGTTATGGTCCTCGCTGCCCGTGGCCAGATTAAACGGCTCCATGGGGTTCCAGCAGATCGCGTTCGTGCGCAGCGCCGTGACAACCTTGGCCACGGGGCTCTGCGTGCGCAGGTCGTAGAAGATGAGCGTGCGGTCGGTCCCCGCGGAGGCGAGCACGCTCGTCTCGCTCTGGTTGAACTTGACGGTGTTGATGGTGTCGACGCCCCAGTTCATGCTCGAGACGGGTTTTGAGCGCGTCGCGTCCCAGATCTCGATCGTGCTGCCGGCCGTTGCGAACGTGGACTCTGTGCGGTGGTGGGTGACGCCGTTGAAGGCGCCTGCGCCGAGGTATGTTGCTACGGGGACATTGCCGGCGTCTGTGGCGTAGGGGTCCCATAGCTTTACGGTGCGGTCGCTGGCGCAGGAGAGCAGGCGCTGGCTCTCGCCGGCGAGGTTGGTGAAGCAAAGACCCTTCACGATGCCGTCGTGGGCCTTGACGCTGCGCAGCTGGGAGCGGTCAGCAAGGTCCCAGATCTTGACCTCGCCGTCGCCAGAGCCGGAGGCAACGCGGGAGAGGGAGCGCGGGTCCTTGGCGAGGGCGTAGACACCGTCGATGTGGCCGTCGCCGAGCTGGGCGAGGAAGGGGGCGGCGAACATGCGCTCGAGCTTGGTGGCATTGAGGGCGCGGGTGTATTCGCGGGCCTTCTCGAAGGGGTGAAGCTCGGGGTTGAGGTTGCGGGGTTGGACGGTGGAGGTGCTGCCGGGGGGGGCGTAGGTGGCGGCGGAGCGGGAGAGGGCTTTGACTTTCTATGGAGGGTTAGTGGGGGTGTATCTATGGTGGGGGAGAGAGAGTTGGGGAGAGGTATGACAGACCATGATTGTAGAGGGGACCGTAAAGGTCAAGATGAGGTTTCTAGAGCTGTGTAATTGATATTGTAGAGTGCGTGGTGGAGGTGCGGAGATGTGTGGAGTTGCGGGGTTGGTTGTGAAGTTGTGCTGTTGAGATAGTTGCGGTTTGGTGTTTGTGGAAAAAAGATGTTGTGGGTTAGGGTTGCCTGGCTGGCTGAGACATTGCGCTAGCAACGCCGCCGCGCGGGAAATGATCGTTCTTGCGGGATATGGCAAAGGACGCGGCAATGGCCATACGGCCTGTTTGGTACTTTAGATAAAGGCCCGGTTCAAGTGAAGATAAGACAGTGCTCATGCTCGGACAGACAGCCGACAGTAATAATTGAGATGTAGCAATAAGATAGATGGTTTATATATGACAGGTTCAAAGGGTCTTTTACGAAGGAGGATGAAAGCCTGTGCATTTATATAGTCAAAGGTGATACGTCTAGTTAAATTAGACTGTGGATGCTGTCACCAAGGCCACATTACATGAGAGGCATTCTTTTCAATTGGTCTGACTATAGCTAAGATTTTATCAGAAACACATATTTCCTGTAGAGTAATTATCATTGTTAGTTCCGGTCACCGAGAGTATATAGAAAGCCCAGACTAAAAATCAATTGCAATCCCACTTTTATTATTTACATTACCCCTCCCCTTCCCCCTCCCCTCCCTTCTCTACGGCTTAAACAACCCCTCCAAATCCGCCACAACCCCCTCCAAATCCGCATACTCAACCAACATCATACGGCCCCTCGGCACGATCCCAAACTCGCCAAACGCACGCTTACTATCCGCCGCGCCCTCATCCGCCTCCTTCACATACGCATAGCCCCCCGCCGCCTTCGCCTTCCTCATGATCGTCTCGTCCTCCGGGTGGAAGTAGAAAACCTCCCCGCCCTTCTTCCCGCCCTTCTTGCCCGTCTTGCCCTTCTTGGCGGCCCGGGGAGCGTCGTCGTCAAGCTTGGACGCAACCTCCGTGTATGTCTTGCTGATGATCAGGAAGTGGCTGAAGCGGTAGGGCTCGCCGTCGTCGATGGCCCAGGTGATCTCCTCGAGAAGCATCTTGTACATGGGCGGCACGATCTCGGTGGGGACGTTGATGAGGCGCTCGGTGAGGATCAGGCCTGTGTGAGTGGAGGCCGTGGGGGAGAGGAGGGTCTGTAGTTGTGTCTTGAGGTCGGCGGGCGCGCGGGAGATGAGGTAGTCGCGGAGCTGCTGGATCACCGGTTTGTCCTGCTGGGTGTTAGCCTTGCGGTGGGAGGAGAGGAGGTGGGGGGACAAGCGGAGGGGAAACGGACATGGTGTTCCTGCATATTCAGCACAGTGAGGAACGCATAGGGGTCACTCTCGTTCCCGTCGACCTTTACGGTGGTGCCGAGCAGCGGCTGCGACAGGATCAGGTCCGTGAGTGCGGAGATGTCAAAGAGGGTGTTGTCGGCGTCGAGGAGCTGGCGCAGCAGCGTCTTGAGCCCGTGGAAGTCGTGCGCGGGCTGCGGGTCGAACATCTCGAAGTCGACATTGACAATGTCGAGGGACTCGGTGTCCGAGTCCGAGTCGGCCATGGGGGTGTCTTCGGAGATTGGTTGGAGATCTTTTCGTTTTGGCATTGTGGGCGGTGGTGGTGGTGGGAGTGAAGGTGTGGTGGTGGGAGAGGGAGAGGGTTGTTGGTGGGGGAGATATTCGGAGTGGGTGAGCTCTGGTGATGCCGGAAATATTTTTATATTTTGAGACATCAAAGCTGGTCCTGGTGGGCGCCGGGTAACGTGGGGCAACATGTGCGAAAATACATGTCAGGGTAACACGCAACATCAGAGCAGTGTGAAATCGTTATTTTCAAATACCTCAAAATCACGATATCACCAATTGCACAGCACCCGCCGCACCAACACACCTCCCACGCCCTCCACACACCCACCATGCTCCTGCGCACCCTCCAGCGCACCCTGCGGCCACTGACCGCCCTCCCCACCACCACCACCGCTCCCTCCCTCCTCCGGGGCCTCACTACCACCCCCCACCTCCACAACCTCACCACCACCCCCATCTCCCCCATCACTCCCCCCACCCCACCAATCCCGCAGCAACCCAGCATCCCCCACCAAACCGGCACCCTCAACATCACCACCCCCACCGCCCCCACCACCCCGCACCCCTCCCTCGCCCTCCTCACAGCGCTCAAGTCCCAGCCCGCGCAATACATCACGATCCACATCCACAAGTTCCCCTTCCTCGTGACGGTCGGGGACCTCGTGCGGCTGCCGTTCCGGCTCAAAGACGCGGCCGTGGGCGACTCGCTGCGCATCACGCATGCAAGCGTGCTGGGGTCGCGCGATTACACGCTCAAGGGGTCGCCGTGGATCGATCCGGCGCTGTTCACGTGCCGCGCGAGGGTGGTCGAGGAGACGAGTGAGCCCATGAGGGTCAAGGAGAAGACGAAGCGCAGGAATAGGCGTATTAAGAAGGTGAAGAGTAAGCATCGCTATACGGTGCTGAGGATTAGTGAGTTGGTTGTGAAGGATGCGCCGGTGATGGCGGCGGCGGCGGCGGGGGAGGTGTAGACCGGGGCGAATTGGGGGAAATTTGAAGGATGGGATTGGGGGTGGGGAGGATGGAGGATGGAGGATGGGGATGGGATGGGGATGGAGTAAAGGTTTGGGATAAGGTTACGGATAGAGGGAGGAAACCGGTATTACTGCTCACGGGAATGTAAAAATTGTAAATATACATTGTGGGCGGGTTTAAAAAATTATACAAGCATTAACAAACAATATACTATCAGTATTAGATTCCAGGACAGCTTGAGTGACTATTCTCAAACTGGTGATCATCTAGAAAAAATAACACAGTTTATTAAGACTGCCGAACACAGTACTTGAATTTATTTAATTAGCCAAAACATAACAATTAAACGTATGAGTGCACGTAGTTGGTTGACCCAAATCCGAGTTCCTACCGGGACCCAAATGCGGCCAGAGCCAATGATTACCACGGCAGGAAAAAAGGAACTTTCGGGCACGTTATCGACCTGCAGTGAAGTGAGTGAGATACGATGATCAACGCAGTGCGTCACCGCGATAAGATTAGATAGTAGCACTCACTCCCTCACTCGGTCAGCCAGCCAACCAACCAACTCACCTCACATCCTACAAGTACATACCTCTAAAACACACAACTACATACCACACAACTACAATTACATACATACAAACACTCAATATATCAAAAGGGGAATATTCAAACAAAAAAAAGAACCAACCAACCAACCACTGTACAACGAATCGAAAGCTAAAAGGGGATAGATATAGTTACAAAAAAAGCAAAAAAAGCAAAAAGAAACACAACCCATCACTCGCCCCATCCTCCTCCCCTCCCCCGAGCCCTACCTACCTACACCTTCACCACCGGCGTCCCCGCCGCGCCCTTCATCGTCTCCGCCTCCTTCTGCGCCCTCTTATACTGCCCAGGACTGACAAAGTTGATCTTGGCCTGCTTCCACATGCCCCTCCTCGCCTTCCTTGCCCGCCATTCCGCAAGCCTATACACCTCCTCGAGCTTCCCAAACTCGGCGCCCGTTTTCGCCTCATACCTATTCCCACCCGCACCACTCATCAGCACACACACCCCGAACCACCCCCACCACCACCACCACCTCCTCCTCCTCCAAAACAGGACAGAGAAAGAAAGAGAGAACACTTACACCGTCGCCATCCCCGCCTCCAACATCTCCAGCCCCACATCCCTCCTCCTAAACCCCCTCCACACCTTCACGCTCGCCACCACCCTCTCATACTGGTCACGCCGGTACACATACACGCGCACATTCCTTCCCAGCAGATACTCCCGCAGCCACGCCAGCGCCTTATCCGCATACGGCTGCGCCGCGCGTCCAAAATGCGCGCCCTCTGGCGCATCCACGCCTGCAATCCTCACATGCAACTATCCTCCCACACGCCCATGTCAGCCTTTCCCTCTACCCCCCAGCTAGCTCCCCCAAACTCGCAGAGTAAGTGTAAGTAGAGCAGACATACCGTATCCCTCACGGCCCCCCTCCCCCCGGTCCCGCCACGGGGACCTCCCTTCCAGGGAGCCACCCCCAGCCGAGGCATCGTCCGCCAGGCGTGTGGTAGAGGCGGAAGCCGTCGCCGTCGCCGACGGAGGTGACGCGGCCGTAGATGCTGCGGCGGCGGAAGAAGCTGGGGTAGATGCTTGCGGCATCGGGGATGCGGCGCAGGTGGTTTCGGTAGAGGTAGGCGGCGCCCAGTGCGGCGGTGGTGAGCGTGAGCGTGGGCAGGATGAGCGCTTTGTTATCGTCCCAGAGTGTGCGGAGGGGGGTGCTTTGTGGGGGCGGAGGGGAGGGCGAGGTGCTCCAGGGCGGCCATTGCATGATGGGTGGAGGGATGGGTGGGTGAGGTGGGATGAGGGGGATCTACAGGTGGGGTGGTGGGTGGTGGGTGGTGGGTGGTGGGTGGTGGGTGTGGGGCGCGGGGTTCGAGATTCAGATTCAGATTCAGATTCAGATGTGAGATTCGAGATCGATCTGTGAAATGGGCTCACTCACTCACTCACTCACTCGCTGTCAGGTACACACAGGGAGCTGACCGGGCTGATGGGTGACAGAGTGACAGACAGACAGCTGTGGTTGCGCCAAGGGCTCACTCACTCGGCTAGTTCCGTCTGTGTCGGGCATGATCGGCGTCGTTGTCCCCGCACACTCTGCTCTGTCTGCCCGGTGAGAGTGAGTGAGTGGCGAGATGCGAGATGCGAGCTGTGGCTGTCTCGACTCCACGGACCACACGATGCATCCCCCCCCCACACCCGGGATTGGTATCCGTTCTAGCACTCGCTACTTTACTAGCACCCATTCTCTGGCACCCTCTCCTCTACAGGAGGGAAGGGGTGCTGGGTAAATAGGATAGGATAGAATGGATGTGCAAAAAAGCAGATTCCCGAGTCCCGAGAGATACAGCCATTATCTAAGAGGCTTTTTCCCCGCACTTTTACTTGCACAGTGCACACATCCCACTTCCGTTGAGTTGCGTTTTTTCCTTCCAGCATGAAGCACACTTTTACTTTTAGCTACTCACAGCACTTCGATAGGAGAAACACCTCCACGGCAAAAAAAAGACTGCAGCAGCAGCAAACAAGCAGCAGGAAAAAAAAATTTGCAGGAAAAAAAACGAACAAAAACCCAGCTCCGGCAGCTGTTCTGTTATTTGTATATTTATAAGTAAAATAAAAATAAAAAACGGTTTAGTTGTTCCCCAGTCCAGTCAGTCCCAGTCCAGTCAAGTCAATCCCCGCTCCATCCATGAAAGTCGTAATAAAAAAAAAGCACAAAAAAAATACCAGATACATCTTTTTCTATCCTCATCAAAGAGGGTAAAAAAGAGTGGTAGTCCAGAAACAAGAAACAAAAAACAAAAAACAAAAAAACGCCATGAGCCCCATAAAGTTCCATTAAACGAGAGCCTGTCGAACAAAAACAGTGCAAAAAGAAAAAAGGGTTATAAAAAGACAAGAAACGAAGATGAAAAATACAAGCCCAGCAATCCACGCAAGTAGTGATGGATCCAGACGAATCAGATCAGATCAGGTTTTTTGTTTTTGTTTTTGCTTAAGCAAACCTTCTCTGGATCTCAGCATCAAGCTGGGGAGTGATCTCGTCGCTGGTCTTGCCGCGGACGGTCCACAACACACCGGCCTTGTCGTAGTGCTCGAGAAGGGGTTCTGTGGCCTCTGCGTATGCCTTTAGACGCTTGGCAAATGTCTCCTAAAGGGGGGGAATGTCAGTAACTGTAACACATTTGGTAAAAAATAGATACGTGAGGAGAAACATACAGGCTGGTCATCAGAACGGCGGGTCAAGGGCTCGCCAGTGATGTCGTCGACACCCGGGTTCATGGGCTTATTCCATGTGGTGTTGTAGACTCTCCCAGAAGGCTCGTGCTAGAGAAAAAAAAACCGTCAGCACAACCCTTCACCACCTCAATCCTCAGCACGGGATCAAATAAGACAAAAAAAAAACATACCACAAGCCTCCCAGCAATCCTCTCCAAAATCACATCATGGGGCACATCCAGATTCACCACCTAAAGCCAACCCCCATCGTTAGCCATGACTCATCCCCCAATATACCGGAGAGAGGGAGAGAAAAAAAGAAGAGGCCACAAACCAAGTTCATCTGAACCTCCTCATCCAGCGACTTTGCCTGACTCTGCGTCCTGGGGAATCCGTCCAGCAGGAAGCTTGCTGAAGGACAATCAGAAGCCGCCGGAGCACTAGGTTTACTAATGACCGATAACGGGCCAGTCAGACACAGACCGGAGGCCATGTTACCACGAGTCTCCACCCAACCGCGCTTCGACAGCTCGCCGACAATCAGCTTGACCATGATGGAGTCGTGCACGAGGCCGCCCGACTTCATGATGCTTTCGGCTTGCACACCTACCAACACAGATAGCCTGATTAGTTTTTGTTTGTCCCCCCCCCCCCTTGACTTTCTGGGTATATGGATAACCCGGATCATGAAAAAGAAAAAAACGAGAAAATAAAAAGAGAAATTAGTAATTACCAAGTGGGGTTTTTGCCCTGACATTCTGTCGCAGCAGGTCGCCGGATGAGATTGACGATAGCTTGAAGTGGTCCAGCAGACGTCCCGACTGGGTACCCTTTCCGCACCCGGGTGGGCCAACGAGAATTACTCTGGCAGCTTTTCTGAGCTTTCCAAGGGCCATTTGTATTTTTTGAGTGTTTGGTCGGGATTAAAAAAAATAAAAAGAAGTTGTTGGACTACGACGTCACTTGGTTTTTTTAGTATTGCGATACGGATACTCGTACAGGAACGAGGGACGGAACGTGAGTGAGTGGTTTGGCGGTGGGTGGTGCGAGAGTAATGCGAAGAGAGGGGAGAGAGAGAGGAATTGAGTGACTGGATAAGCTTTATGGCAGAGCAAGATGGCAACGGGCTGGTAATGGGGGCAGATACGATCTCGCAGCCGGGACGGGGGGGAATTTAAGCAATTGGAAATCTAGATAGGGTAATATCTCTTGGTAGATAGCATCTAGGTGGAAATGTATGTATCTCTCTCTGGCTAGGTAGACGTCGTCGTCGTAGGTAAGCAGGGGGTGGGGGATTGTGGTGGTGGTGGCCCTGGTGGGCAGGGAGGGAGGGAGTTCATGTTGCTAGATATGGTTTGGCATGCAAGCCCAGATGGATTCAACAACAAGGAACTGGACCCACACCCACCCAGCAGTACCACATCCACATTGTTCCACACCCACCATGTCCGGCGATCTCGAAGGAGGCGGAGAAGTTCCAAGCGGGTAGCGAACTGGTTAGATCAGCGGTTTTTGCTGGGAATGGGCCCACTGCGGGGTGGTCTGTGCACCTCGGTTATATATTGGGAAAAAACTGTTGAGTGCAGGAAGAAGAAGCGGGCGGCGTGCGCGCGGTCTTGACTCGGACCTTTCTTTTACTACTTCTTACCCACCCCTAAACCATCCATCCCCTCCCCTCCCCCCATCCCCCCTCCTCCCTCTTCCGTTCCCAGCCTTCTAGTACAACGTTTTCGTCCCGCACTTGCAGCCTACAACTCAACTGTCTCAACAGGAGAATTTTTTTTTGTAGCTTCTTCTACTTCTAGAACCCAACTGCCGAGCAAAAAAAAGGGGAGAGAGAGAGAAAAGAGAGAGAGAGGCTTGCAAGAAGAATGCCTGTAACTAAGAGTGCAAGGTCGAGACGACGACGACGACGCCAAACAACAACCACGACGTCGACGTCGACGAACCCACGATGACCAATATGTTACAATAACCCTGTTAGCAACCACAACTACCACAACCCACAACCACGAACCCAAGCTAGGACGATGCTGCACAACGCCCCCCCAATGATACCGCGTGATTTGATTGCGTTACATCACCATCATCATCGACGGTGCTACTCGGGAAAACTCCGATTCGTTTCGTGCGTTCGGGTGTTTGGAGCTATCTGTAATTCCGACCAGAGTGTCGGGCTTAGAAAGTCAGCTCCAAATACCGCCCCTCCTCCCCCCGCCAAACTCCACTCGGGTCCTGCAGGCATGCTGCACAGACTACTAGCTTCCCTCTCCTTCTCTTCCTCCTTCTCACCTTACCTCAACCCCCCTCCAAGAAAGTATTACAAGGTAGATGGATGGAGATCCAAATAAACCTTCCACTAGCTCGGGCTTTGACATCTCTCGGCGTTGATGTGAGTTGGCAAGCTGGTTTCTCGCCTAAGAGGATCGATAGGTCCGAGTCTGCGCCCTAGCACTACCATTGGGTGATCTTGCGAATGCAGAACATCGGTCTCATCGGGCATCACCGCACGCGCCGGCCAATAGTCCGCGTTGTAGAAAGCATTAGTAGCAGATTTATTTTGTTCTCGACGGCACACACTTGCGTTCCTTTTCTTTTTGTTAAAAAGCTTGCCCCGTCGCACAGCCACAGGGCGGGATCGCTGCGATCTTGACCAGTAATATGAGCATATTTGTTACTCCAGTAGCGCTGGAGTACCTCTTGGTACTTGCAGGAACATGGTAATTTGTACATGAACGTCAGCCAACGACCAGATCGCATTATCGGGTTTTACAGTAATGGAGGAGGAGCGCAATGTTCCAGCATCATGTATGTTTACCCATTTACCCTCCCAAATATACACGTAGGTAGTGTTGTGCGCCCGAGGAATGTGCACTTTTTTTTATTACTACATACGTAGAGATGGTGTAGTGTACCCAGTAATGAGGATCACGCTGGATCAGAGTAATATGTGCTGCTCTAATATGTAAGAAGCTCCCACTGCATTATCGTCGACGAGACTAGCTGAACTGCAACAAAACATCGGCCGAGAGCTCGAGAAAAGAAACCGACGACTGTGTAAGATCTAGCAATAGAAATATGTAGTCAGGGGAGCTTATCGAGAAGCTCTAATATGAGAATAAAAACCCGTTCAAATGAAGATGCAGAACGAGATAAGGAGCGTCCAATTCCATCAATTGCAAGCACCGGAAGGAGCGCTTCTCGATATTGGTATGGAGCCAGAGTATATACATGTAGTTACATCTGCCTTCCTTTCTAGACATTGTGAACTCATCATTGACTCCGGGTCTGCAAGTACCCAATGATATTAGACTATGCAGTGGCATAAGACGAGCTAGACATGTAACTAAAGAGGGGACAGCATATGGAGTTACATACGTTCCGGCCGAAAAGCGGTGACCGGAACACAAAAGACCCAGAACCGGCCGGGCCTTATTCGTGAGAATATATCATCTGTCGGCACTATTTGCGGGGAAAACCCCGTGATTCATGTATGTACGCCTCGTACGTGTGTACAATCAGAATTGGAGAGCGAGCCTAGACCGCTATGCATTGAAGGTTTCAAAGGACCGAGTCTTACATGATAGTTTTTCTTTGTTTTTTTTTGGTTCGCCATTTTGGCTTTAATTTTTTGTGGGGTACGTGCATGCATGGGAGAGGAGGAGTAGGTACATGTAGGAAGAGGAGGAGAAGTCTGTGAAATGTGACTTATCGGGTAACATGTGAAGTGACCATGATAATACAGGATACCGTGTCATGAGCAATCACTCGGCTGAGTGTGCGGCTACTTGCGCTTTACTCTGGTCACACTACATATCTCCGTCTCCGTCTCCGTCTCATTCTCATCTCCGTCCTTATCCCCACACCCGTCTCCGTGCCCACCGGCCTCCTCTAGTACTACAGCGGCCATGTGAAACCCGCTGATCAGAAGCAAAGCATCCGTTTGTCCATGGCCACTTATTTACCCCAGAGGGCCCATGCACACGCCTGCCTAGCTGCACCCCACCCTGCCGAACCCCCGCAGCCGAAACGTTACCGAAACACCGAATGGTGCAATGGTACATCACACCTACGTAGTGTAGTCAGTGAGCTATCACACGAAGATAATAAGCATTTTGCGTCGGCGCTTCTCGGGTTAGTGGCCCTCGCGACTTCATCCGGTTGGGATTGCTTGGCGCCTGGGCCGGGTGTGGTGGTGGTGCATGGATTATCACTCGACGCTGGTGGGAGGTAGGGAGGTTAGGCTAATTTGAATGGAGAGGAAGTGTAATGCCGTTTGACGGCTATTTGGGAGCTGGTGGGTGCTGATTATGTATACTATAGGGGACCTTTATCGGATGGTAAAACATACGAGGCGGAAATGTTGAGTTTGTGGTGGTTTTTTGCTGCATTTTTTGTGCAGGAGGGTATATAGACATGGATAACAGTGAGTACATGCAGGTACTACAGCGGTGGATAATAAGTCATCAGACGGAACGCCACCAAAATACGCGTTTGCAGGCAAAATTGTGGCTAGGTCGTCCGATGACTTATTACCCACTGCTGTACATTTAGATTAAACAAACGTTAACTCTGTTATAGATATATCTAACATGTATGTACATGTAGTAGTGGTCTTTTTCCCAGAGCCATTCGGTATCATCGTTAACTACTGTCGTTAACGGAGTAATAACGGATGCTGGGTGTTGGCTGATAAGGGGATTTGGTCTAATATGAAGAGTTGACTGCGCCGCTTTTCTCTTTTCGGCTGAATCTATTAAAACCCAGTATCCGTTATTACCCCGTGAAAGATAGTATATTATATGTATGCCGTTACTCGTATACTGAATTAAAGAAACTAGAAAACTCGGGTGGTGCAGATATATAGAGGTGATTTGTATGAGAGAACACCGCCACCCCACATAAGTCATCCTTGTTTTCAACTGAGTAACTGTATTTTCTACATAGTTCTCCTGGTCATGGTAAATACTGAAAACTCCAACCACATACGCCCACCAATAAGGGATGAGCACATTAACGTGCTGTAGTAGAAGCACAATATAAATGACTCCTTGCTCCTGTACCTTCGTACTAAATGGAAATTTTTGAGTACGTAACCTAGCACATAACATATATACGCGCAGAATTCAATTGAAAAACTACAAAACCAAATCCCGCACCAAGAAACCCTAATCGTTATAAGATCCTAACGAATCTTGGTCGACTAAGTTTCAATACTTCGCGAAGAGCGGCCAAATTCCTATACTTGGTACTTCTCACCCCTTACTATAAACATTAACTCTTCTAGGCTACTCTGGACCGCGGAGGGGATTACAACAGCTATCAGAATCTGGAAACAGTTTACGAGCTGGCGTCACGGAAGGGACAATGAAACGAGGACGAAGAAGAAGAGACAAGGGAAAGGGGGTTGGGATGGGGAGGATTGAGGGATAGCCCATAATCAGGGGCTGGCAAGGGACAAACTAAAACTAGTGTTATCTTCATATCTCTTTTGTTTTCTTTCTGTACTGGTTCTATGAAAGTGGCGGTGGAAGGGAGGCAGTTCTGGGGAAGTGCGATATTGCCATAGACTAAGGTCTGCATGCAATTAATGAATTAAACAAAAAAAAAACATTAACTCTTTCCTCCTCCACACTTTCTTCTCAAACATATCAATATTAATATTGCATGCTGAAGTTTTTCGGAGCTGGAGTAAGACCTCGCCATGTAAAAAGACCTTTTCTCTATAGTTCAAATTTATTTGAACTGGGAATATGGCTTATTTATCAGTTTATTAACTAAAATGACACGGTTTTAGTAGGCATGCTCTACAACAACACAATGTGATCGAGCTGTTGAATACTACATGTATGGATGGATGAGCATTAACATCGAAGGGTTAGGGGTTCCGCTTCATCTTAGCACACTGCCAAGCTCAAGTATCACTCAGCCCAATATCCATCATAGGCGGGTGGTCTAGTACAGCGAAAGCTTGCTATAACGGTACGCTCGGGACCGGAATTTGGTACCGTTATAGAGAGATTACCCTTATATAGGAGGTGCTGGTGCTGAAAGCCAGGCAAAAAGGACCGAGAAGTGCTACCGTTATAGAGAGATTACCCTTATAGAAAGTACCGTTATAGCAAGCTTTCGCTGTAGTTAGACTGCTCGTCGGGTTAGACACGGAGTGTTTACCCAGGAATCACACATAAGGTCCTGAGTTCAAACCAGGGGTGGGGGTAGTAGCGCACATAAGTCGCTGCAGTACCTTTTTACTTTTTTTTCTTTTCTACTTCTTTTGTAGTGAAATAAATTAGGGGGCTATTATTATAACCCATAATCTCTTCCCAAATTAAATCAATCTTCATGACTTATTTGTGATAGTAAACCATATTCGATACCTGGTGGTTAATGTGCATGTCCACATATTCCAGCCTGCCAAATATTTTGTGCTACAGCCACAAAATTCCTCCCTCGTTCTCTAAAGAAGGCGGGAACCAAGAAAGGCGTAAAGAGGAGGGCACTATCAGGTTGGGTATCAACACCCGTCTATAGTAATGCTTTGCCCACGATTCTAGAAAGGTATAATTATATAATCATGAAACGAGGAGGAAACGTCAGCAAACGCGTACGGTCATCTAGAGTACCTTACGAAGCATATACCTCGAGTTAATTCAAGACACAAGGCCTACGTACTATTCAAAAGAAGGTTCTCTTGCTCAGCCAAATATTGACGTTACCGTAATATGGCACCACCGGTATTGGTCTTTGAGACGATTCTTACTTTCCTCCATGATGACTGTATGGGTATTCTAAGAAAAATTAAGCTGGAATGTCTTAGTTGCAGATCTGGGCTCAGGTAAGTTGTCGTATCTATATATGTGCTGGATATATTTTGTCTAACGGGTTATACATGAGATTATGTGTAGTGTGTTGCATGAGAAGGCTTCATATCCCTTCGTAATTGCTTGAATGCTACCGGATGTGGCCATGAGACATTGTAACACCCGCTGGTGAGTTTCACACGCAGGCCACAGAACCAAGACACAATATCTCATAAGGCAGCCTGCCCTAAAGCATAAAAAACTAGCTACATGAGTCCGTACTAGCTTTTATTTTGTTGCTAAGCTGAGCTCTAGTTTCGACTTTACCGATTGATAACCACTAAACTTAGGAGGAGGGGTGACGATACCATCTATACTAGTGTTCATATCTCAGTAGAATATTCCTTATCATCGAGGAGGGTGTGGGGAAAGTAAAGGTTGTGGCGGGGGTGCACTATCAAATTACCTTCATGGGATATCACTCGGACACATACTAATGACTGATATGGGAGTATCAAGCGCACGTGAAGGGACACAGTATGATTTTAGATTTGCTCATGAAGGCTACATATTGTCGTTACTAGAACTACGGTGCGACTCTGAACGCGTTAGATCCTCCAGGTGTCCCTATCAGTCATTAAGCTCGACTCACATATCCGACTAACTCATAGGGTTGCCGCTAATATGGCTGACTCCAGATGTAGTAACAGTTTGGTATTTGCACCTTTCTTCCCATACTCGTTTCTTTTTCTCTTTATAGCTGTTTTTACTGCGTGACCCTGAGATCGGACCTGTAAGTACTCGGTAAGTGGAGAGTATAGATTGAACTGGACAGATATCTTCAACTGAAGCTGGTCGGTACTATGGTGGATCTATCTATATACGTGGCCCAGACCATCTCTACACCAGCCCTGTTAAGGACAGGCTGTCCAGAAGCGTAGACACAGAATGTAGATGCTATTAACCATGCTGCGTGAATGCTCATTCTTTATGTAACCCATAGCGTATATTCTGTGGCCTGAAATCTCTTAAGAATCTACGCTCACGTGTACTTATATGTATCCTTAGTTGTTCGGGTGGTATATATAATTCTCTTTTATTATTAGATATAGATGACTGGGATTGAAACCCTTACTTTTCTTTACATTACAACCATTTAAGATCTATCTTTGGTGTACTATTGGAACTTAGGCGCAGGAAAAAAAAGAGGAGAGAGGAGAGGTCTTTTTAATTAGGTGATCCTGTTCCAGGACCAACAAATTGTAGCAATAAATTGCGTATATTCAATCATTCATAGTACACAATCTGTACAGCTGTAGCTGCGTTTGTTATGTACTTTTAGTTGTTGGGTTTGTGTTATATGTTTAACAGTAATATGTATCGGTCATCAAGATTTTAGCATTATAATAGAGCTACATGTAGTGACTTCTAATTTAGTGTAGAGCCTGCCATAAGACTACATGTATCTGTAGGCGCGTTCAATTTGCACAAATTCCTAGATCCTCATATACATGATCCGTTTAGCAGGGGTCTTCCTATTGAACTACACATAGTATGGTTCTTGTACATGATAAATACATATATTTACTAAGAATCTTAGACAGTGTAAATCATGTCCAAATATCTACAGCTGCGTAGAGCTTCCATTTGATGGACTCTACATCACAAAGTACCACGTCATCTTGTATATAACATATCACATTTTTATCTATCCTCGTCTCTCAATCCCTAACCTAACCTAAAACCTAAGCTTTGCCACGAGAAGCCTGAACAAATTTTCCGGAAAAACCTGTCCTTTCTGAACACTAAGCTCAGCCAATAAATAAGATGTCTGTGGCCCGATCGCGGTAATTTCACAACTTCATGAATCCAATTCATCAACATTTAAGTACTACATGTACTAAACTACACAGCCAACGCTAAAGACACCAAATCCTTAGTTTTCCTTCCTTTTATTTTAACCTTCTCGCTTATTTGTGATACCGAAATCTCGTGTCCAGTCTCCGGGCTGGATACAAAAATGAATTATCAACCAATACCGAAATCTCATATATTCACAACCCACCACCTCTTACGAGCCACACTACCCCTTAAGTGGGAATCAAACGTTCCATCCGATTTTCAAAACTTCCAGTACGATGAAAACAAGGAAGTAATCGATCAATCAATTACAGTACGACGACACAGACGTTTCCTAATATACAAGGTTCGAAGACATGGTGACAAACACACGACCGACGCCCGAAACGATGACTGGTCCATAGTATATACCTTATACCTTAGAGCACTAGGAAATGCCATAGAACAACTGTCTCTCGTCGGGGAGACTCTTCAAAGACAGAACCTCACTGGCCGGGGCGCCTTCATGTTAATGAAGAGGGGGAAACCTTACACCCCGCTCCGGCACAACATCCAGCCCCATATGTGGTTTGAAAAACATATGGTCCGATTTATGCCTCACCTATATCTACACCGATTTCCCTCGACCCTTATGAATTCTATAACGGAAACACATTATATTTAAGACCCTCGAAGTAGACGATACTACTGAACACCACATCCATAAACGGAAACACGACCAAACCTTCGAAGTAGATGACACTAGTAAACACCACATCCATAAACGGGAACACGATCAAACCCTCGAAGTAGATGACACTAGTAAACATCACATCCATAAACGGGAACACGATCAAGTCCTCGAAGTAGATGATACTACTGAACACTACATCCATAAACGGAAACACGACCAAGCCCCCGAAGTAGATGATACTACTGAACACCACATCCATAAATAGCTAGATCAAATTCATTTAAAAAGACAAGAGGGGGTACTGGAGAGATACTGTATCGTGCAATTGCCAACTGCGGTCACGCGTCATAGTTCCCCCTTCTTATGCATGAAAATACTTCAAAATCGTTCATGAGAAAGTCGGGCATGTTGGTGTCCTGGGCTTCTCTTTCGATATCCATGACCACACTTGGAAATATTACCTAAAGTTTCATTGTCAGTCAAAACATTAAACTACTTGTATTTTATAAAGGAAATATGTCACACTGCCTTGGACTATATATACGCAAGGGCATAATTAGTAACGTGCTAGCTATAGCTCATAAATAGGCAGGTTTCAATTTTCAGTTGCCATCTATCGAGGACGGCCCTGTACATACAATTATTGAATCTCGTCTGACGTACCTTCGACTTACTAATATTAGAGCCACGTACATATAGTTTTTGAACTTGGTGTGTTTTACAGTAGATTCGAGGAATGATATCACCGACTTTATAGAAAGCACTTTTATTGACTACTGACACGCCTTGCCTAGGCTCCAGATCAGGAGGGTCTAAAATTCGATTATCACTGCATTTATAGAGTAGGAGGACTCTTTAGTCATGCGGAGTACGCTGCTTCTGTATTGTATCAATAGCCGCTGTCCATGAGAAAGCCAAAGTTCCAGAGTGATCATTGTTATGTACCTGTGCATGTGGTAGCCGGTTATATCTAGATTCTGGTGATGGATGAATGATTTTGGACCTACAGGGATTGGGCTAGCTAGTTCGTGTGGTAAAAAAAAAACGGGTTTAGCCAGGGTCCTAGCATATATGTATACATGTACGTAACTGAGAACAGAACCGCCGCTAGCTGCCAACTTTCCTCAACATCCAATACAATCCTCGCCTCTTAGAAGTTGTCTAAAAAAAGTTTTCTATCAACATTCCATACTTCACTATCATTATCACCATCAGCAGAGCAGAGACTATTGATTTGCTTAACTCCACACTCGATCGCAACCACAGCTACAATACGGGCTCTCTTGACTACAAGACAAGTAGGAATGTATATTCGGGACGGGATTTACCGTGATTTTGGTGGCAATTAATTTTTTGAATATGCCTCATTGTAAGATTCCAATGAAATCTGCTGTGACTCCCTTATCCTCGATATTTCCGCTAATCAATCTATACAGATTTCAGGCTGGCGCGGCCTTCGACGCAGAAAGCACACCATCATGAGTAGGTTAACGCGCATGCTCGAACGTTTAAAGGTTAAGTCCGTCTATCTCCTGAAGACTGATTCGAGCAACAATACTCCCTACTGCATCGGCCAATGGGGTTGTGAGGTGGATTTAAGATTTATTCAGCGATTGACAGGTTGGCAGGGGTTACATAAGACCTTATTACCCCATATTTTCTATGGGTACCTACCAGCATGGGGATTTCCGAACTCCATCCGCAAAAACCACCACACTCCTATCTTCTCACTCGAAACCCCTAATAATCGGGGCTGTAGAAACGTCGTCCCGGCTGCTAAATGAGTCAACCTTTAGGTTTGGGTAAGATTACAGACATACATTAACATCATTTCAACCAATGATTTATCTTTTCGGCATCTTATTAGTCTGATTACTAGGATTATTTATGGTAACGGGGCAGAGTGGGGTTCCGCATCCCTCCCCCCAGCCGAATCTTTTGTCACGCGGGCCGACCCGATACTTCAACGTTCAGCCGGGAGCTGAAGATCTTACTCTAGAGATGTCAAATAGCTACAATACCCATGCTAATCTCCACTATAGCAGCATGTCGGCGATATCCGAGGAATGAAGGAAGGGCGGAACAATTTTCCGGTCCACGTACCTTGGAAATGTTCTAAAAGAAGCGAACTGAGGGAGCTAGACTGTAGAGATCTCGTGTCATAGCTCGATCGGATTATATATTCAACGAAGTTTCAAGTATATCTGCTACATGAAATCCAAATATAGAAAACATATTTGACAAAGGAGTCAGTTACACAAAAGCCTCCAGATACTCACAATATATCACTCGAATCGTACACTCGTGGTTAGTAATATTTCCGGGGCAACCCCGCACGCCGCTTATCAGATGCAACCTTTGGGGCTGAAACCAAATATTAAGGTCCCGGAATTTGTGATCTTGGCTGGAGAAGTTATCTCTACCGGAGTTTGTGCAAGGCTGCCTTTTTCCTCAGGAAGGGGTTGGGTAGCTTCGGCCTTACACCCACGAGGAATGCTTAAATCTTTTGACGTTTATGTCTCAAACCTGAGTAGGCAGAAATCTAGAAGGAAACCATACATTTCTTACACGAATTATTATGGACCCCACCGCAAAGTGCAAAATTATCTACCGACATAGTAACACCTCTGGTCACGTTACTAGTAACCTGAAGTATACGTACTCACCAATTTAGTAGCTCAGCCCGTATATTCGATGTACCTACCTACGGCACGTGTGAAAGGCCGAACTACATATACATAAGTACATACTTATATTCTGGTTGATAAGAGGACACTAGGCTTAAGCCTGGGAGTGTGAAAAGCCTTGCCTCTATGCAATTATATTCCTGTCTAGACATCAGGTAAACAGGAGATCTAGAAGACTGTATTTATAGATCGTAAGATCGCACGCATCCCTGCTTACCGAACCATATAGACACTTGGTCTCGAGGCGAACCAAACAATCGCGAAACGGAACGAAGCTGCATAACCGGTGACCCTTAGAACAGTATGTAGCCTTGTATTTGTATGACCCGAAGGTACCGAAGGGATACGAAGAGCCCAGACATATGCGACGCGGCTGTGCTCTGAGACAAGAACCAGGAAAACACGATGCAGCGGCGCGGAAATCTCCAGAGATCGCCAGGGGGAAAATCTTGGGACAAAACCTTATTTCACTTGTCACGCAGTGTACCGCCACAACGTTTGTCAAGCGAGATCTGCACCGCCTTGAAAGCTTAGAAAGACTTAACCCTATACAATAACCGCGGCCCAGTGTAATCGGAAAAGTAAGTGTAGTTTGTATAAGAGTACGCTATTTTACAGGCTGTGCAGTCACAAACGTCAGTTGACATCTGAAACTCTGGGGTTTTATGAGGACTGGAATACAGATAGACTCCCCTGATTGGCACTATTGATGCTACTTTACTCATGCGCAGTTACATCGATAATATTTCTACTATTACAAACTTAGTACATATAAGTCTTCGCATCAGCTTCAGTTTAGTTTTTACTAAACATCATAATTTATCTATTATTTCACCGCTTTGAAGTTAACAGCGAAATTTTGATTTGGAATATCATATGCAGGCATAAGCACTAAGCCTGAACCTGCATCAAAACCCCGTCGATCACTAAACAGAAAATATCTTGAAAATCTAGAGGTACATGTATGTACTACGCTACCCGCAAGGCTAGAAGTACCTACAATATTATCACTTGCTTACGACGTCACGTGGGAAACTTCAACCCCGTGTTTCATAATTGTGGGAGGCAGTCCATTATTCCCGCTTCGCCTCAAGGGAAGTATGCATGCATGTATGCAGGCATAAAAAACGGGATTTTATAGTTATAAATGTGTAATAATAGCAAAAAGTAACAACACCACGTTTCCACAGGAGACAAAACAAATTCATAATCACAATTACAAACAAACAGATATACCAACTTCCACCGTCTACAAAAAAAAACTGCCAACCAAAACGCTAAGACGCTAAAACCATTTCGTTCTTCCCCAAACCTCACCGATAGTGAGATAGAAGGACATGTATCCACTTACATTCGGAGAATATACTCATTCTCTCTAAGATACCTTTTCCCGCAAAATCAATATCGGTTCCTACGGAAGGAAATAAAGGGTCCATGATATTACTCACTGAGACAAATGAGAGGGCAAAGTATAGCCAGGAATTATCTCCGCCGACTTTAATGCAGTAACTGCATCTTTGAATTGCTGCTGTGCATTCTTTAGAGTAGAGACGTTTCCCAGAGACATACAAGCCTCCGCACGCTATGCATGTGGTCAGCAAAGTCTCTAATACTATATCTAGTAGATACAAAGGGTAACCTACAAGTGCTAGAAGCTCTCCAGTGAGACATTGGCGAATGTGCGCATTCTGAACAGCTCTTCCAAAAAATTCAACCGCGGGGATGAGAACCGCGCGGGCCTCGACATAGTTAGCGGTATGCCTTCTTTTCTCCTCGGCCCTGTCATCTTCTTCAGTACCGGAAGCCGATCCTTCTTCTTGATGGATCTTGGCAAGCCAATATTGTGCTTTTGAAAGCCATGCTTGCCCAAGGCCTTTACGGAAAAATAAGCATTTTATGATAATATTTGGTGATATAAAACAGAGACAAGCATACCTCTCAAGGCATCAATGTTGGTACCATCAGTGCTAAGGACTCTGTTCCATTCTCGTTCGCACCATGCTGCAAGATCAGCGATTGAACCACTGTCTGCATCAAAGTATGCAAATCCTTGGATCTCAGTGATGAGCCACAGCCTTTCTTCAAGGCGGTTGGAACCTAGCATGATATTACTGGTTTCAATGTTGTTCACACATGTGCGGACTGTGTCTGTGTGTTTTTTCCACTGCGAAGGGCTGTGAGAGAGTGTGTTGCGGATAGTGGTGAGGCCGGCTTTGGCACTGGTGATGAGCTGCTCGTGTTTTTCCATTGTAATAGATTTATGGGATTGTTTGTGAAGTTTTTTTTAAAATAGAAGAGGGTGGGGGATTGAAGTTTATAGAGATTTTAGAGAGTTGATATGTGTTATTTGGGAGAAAGATATGTATGATATATAAAGTAGGCTCAAAGTTTTGAATTGTTGATTGAGTATGGTGTTGGTTACTGTGGTGCTCTCTGCTGTTTGCTCTGAGGATTCTGAAAAAGTGAAAGTGAAGGCTTATTATATACAGATCCTATTGCATACATTGCTGATATATATATATTCCGATCTGCATATATATAGCATTAATGCATCACTTCAAGCCCCAAGAAAACAAAAAAAAAGAACAGATTCCAAAACAACAGACAAAGTGACCGAATTGTCAACAAATGACGATGAGGTGCATTTCAGAGCTGAAAGACACTCTTGGGATGAGTGGGTCTTTCTCGTGTTCCGAGTCCTTTTGCCCTAAAACTAAAGGTGATATTCTCATCTCTTGTTTGAACGCCACCCAGGCCTCATTGAACAATTGGCTGTAAAGTAATAATAAGAATCTATTTTGATCAAAATCTGAGGAGAAGGAGTCACTCTCTCCCCGGGATGGTGCTTTTTGAGCGTGCAGCAGTTTCCCACGTCCCCGGTACTGTCTATGTAAGGTTTTGTCTCCCCGGAACAAGAGCTGTTTCGGGGGTAGCAAGCTACAGCCCTACTAGTATATCAATTGTTGATAGGTTGCAGATAGTAAATACCTAGTATTTCATCGGCATATCTATGCCGTGAGGACCCGAGTGCTCGGTGAGACAGTAGCATAAGCGAAAAAAATATGCAACTGTAACTCGATCTTAGGGCAACTGAATTCCCAGGACCAAGGGACAGCAGATAGATTTATGGACCCAGGCTTTAAGGTTTCACAAGAATCGATGGGCTGTGGAATAAGATGCCGGTGGCATTCGAGCCGCAAAGGTTTTGGGTTCAATGATGCCCGTTGGATGATAGACCTTGCGGTCAAGATAGACTAGAATTAAAGAAAAACTGCCTTGCCTAGCTTTCTCCGGCCTGACTCAGGTAAAGCAGAATATGCAACTGAGTACATGTAGATACTACTATATACGATAGTTAGCTATAGCTACGAGTGGAAACTAAAAAACATGGACTATCTAGATATATCAGGAAAACAAATAACAACATGGGTATGAATTCAAGTTAACAAAAACCCGATAGGTTATACAAAGAGCACTGCAATAGTAGATATGCAAGAGGTATAACCCGGGCAAGAGGATAAAAATCAAGGACCACATATCTGTTGACGTCCAGAAACGTAGCCTTGCTATGTAGCTACTTGGATTCCATTTACAAATCAGTCATTAAATCATAAGCAAAGGCAATCCGGACTAGAACCCCCGAGAACACCCTGGGGTATGAGTGAGTGAGTGAGTGGATTATGACATAGAGACCCTTAGGTCATGAGGAGTATGTAAGACGGGCAGCGAGTGTCCGCTAGCATTTTGTCATCCTGGAGGTTGAAGAATTGCATTGTTATTCGCCACGAGGTCAGCATGCAGGGCATTAGGAACGAGCCTACGAGCGAGGCTTAGGCCGTTGGTTGCACGATTTTCTCGGCAGGGACGGGCAGATTTTATGTCCGAGCTGCTCAAGATCTCGCCAAATTCCGGAGCGATCTCTTTAGCTATATAAAATCTAGGTAGCCACGATAAAAATTCCCAACTCAGTTCGAGGGCTGAAAAAGAAGAGTTGAAGCTGGTAGGTTGTAGCATTGGACATGGGAGATTTGAGGAATCAAAGATCCTTGGAGCTCACCTTCCCTTCTTGAAGCTGTTCCTGACAGGGGAAGGTAAGGTAATGTTGAGAGTAGAGTAGGTAGTCGTCAGGGTAATTAGTACGGTGTGTTAATCTGGGCTCTCCCACATGAACGGAACCCGTGATTTCGATAATTAAAAAAAGGAGGGAGGTGTGATGCGACAGATTTGTTTGGCAAGAGATCAGGTTTTCTTTGTGGCTACTGAAAGATGTGAACACGTGGGCCTTGTTCCTGCCATCTTCCATCGCCCTTCTCGAACAGATCCCGACTCCATTAGGTCCGTCTTCATTTACCATTTCAGTAGAGTAGCTAGCCCAGCCTGTGTGTGAATTGGTCCGCAGTAGCAGCGAACTGGTCCGTGCAAAACCCACACTGCCCCCGGAATCCCCGACAGCTCCGGACGGGAGAGAGAGCTTCCCTACATGTGCAAGTACTGTGTAGAAGAAGAAGCTGTAAATTAGCTACCATCCCCTCCCTTTACACTCTTCATGGAGTCCATAGTATATGCAAACTCGCCATTGGCGGAGTATCTTGAAGGTGCGTACATACTTGTCCTGGTCCCTAGTTTGTTAACCGTCGCCCGCAGCAGAGAGAAGTAAGGAAAGGGAACACATGCTTATTGTTTTTTGTCGCGTATGCGCGCGTTCGATATTGCAGGAAATGGAGAAAATGCGGCCGATTGGGAAATCGAGCCTCAACTATCGGATCCAGCGGATGATTATAATGAACATCACCACTTCGCACCACCGTTGTCGGCACGAATCACAACTAGAGGATTGAAGTTGGGCATGGGAGAGCCCGGATGGGCGCGGAAGGCGAAGTTCTATGAGCTTTTCTCTGTAAGGCTCCTTACTTTACATACCTTGCTTTCAAACAAAGCTCTTAGACTGATTGTGTTCATTCGGTTTTTTTTTGTTTTTTTAGAAAGCTGTAGATTCCCGATTAAGTAGATCCGAGAATGCTCGATTTCTGGAACGATTTCGCTATGTGATTGTGGCCTCGCAACTCCTGAATGAGCATGTCAACGTCTCCCACTACGACCGCAAATCTGGGGAAGTCGCACCCTCTCTCGACGAAGATGCCTCCTCCCATATATTTGCTTCCCAATACGCAAAGAGTCGATACTGGGCTGGTAGTGGAGGGTTCGTTCTCGCAATTTCATTACTATTGGCATGGGTTTTGAGGGGTGGTAATGGAAGTAGCGGGATAGGGAAAGGGCGGGCAATCGCAGCGCTGTTGCTCTCCATGATGGTGGCCATATTCCTCTTTGCCCATGCGAGGCGGACGTGGTTGCGGTCCCTAAGATCAAAGGCAATCGAGTTTGCGACAGTGTTTGTGCAGAATAGTCAGTCGTTCGATGTGCTAGCCTCAAACGCCGTTACACTGATCCAGGAAGTCGAGTTGGTCTCGAGGGGATATAGGCTGTGAGTCCTTTGTTGGGTCTTTATAAAACCATCTTGGGGGGATTCGATAACTCGGGATCGGTTTTTATGGGTATATGAATGTTTACTGACGATTCCAATAGTAGCACGCCTCTGCCCCCCATCACTAGATTGGAGAGAGATAGTCAGACACGACGATGTGCCCGACTTCGGCGCTCAATTCTGTCTGCACTCACATTGGGGATCCCTCCCCATATTGGGGCGTGTAAATCTCTCCGCAATCTTACTCAGGAAGTGGATCTGGAGAAATATTATGATATATACGATATCCAAAGAGAGGACGTGGGGAACATGGATGTAGGCATCAACAAAGACGATTTTGAGGACATGGAGAGCTTAAAGGCTTTGAAGAGCTTACTACACCGGCTTCATACTATCCGCCGGATACTGCTGTGTTGTTTTTTAGCAGTTGATGCTGACGGTGCTCACCCGGATTACAATAAATGGCGTGTGGTTGTTGAGCAATTGCAAGCTCTGGGAAAACTAATGGGTGAACTTGGGGCCGAGTTGAAGCGAATACTTAGCGAAGAACAAGGTCCGTATAACAATTTCGATTCCGACTTGACTTGCAAGCAACCTACATATACATCCACACCTACCTACACAGTACACACATAAAAAATTACGCGCAAGCCAGCTGACACCCTTCCCAAAATACGCAGAATTTATAATCCCTCCTACTCCCAAACTAACTACCAACACCGTCGAAAACGAGCGCTACCGTGGCCAACTCCGTAAGCTTAATTCCCTCTCTCAGGCCCTCCGTGGCCTACAGGCCAAAATGCACGTCTTGCGCGAAGAATCCGATCGCAACTCCCGCGACTCGCAAGACTTCAGCGACTTTGCCCCAGAGCTCATCGCACACTACGACTCGATCGGCTCAGATTTACATGCCCTGGTAAGCGAATGGGAGGACGGCCGTTCCTTCCTCGCCATGAACCTCGACCGCAACTCACCGCAGACGAAGTCCCCAGAGTCCCTCAGTGGTGCTACGCTGGTTGGTGAGACACCTAGGAACTCAATGACCTTCAGTAAGGACACCGCCGATGCCCTGGGACTGGGCCTGTATACGCCCCAATCAGCGTCAACAGAGGAAGAGAATGATGTTGAGGAAGTCTACGAGGCCGTATCGGCGCCGCGGCCAAGGAGTATGATGACGAGGGAGGAGCGGATCCTGAAAGTGGCCGAAGAGAGAACGAGGGCATTAGAGCAGAAGAAGAGGGTTGAGGCAGGATTAGCACTACAGAAGGAACTTCAGTCGGTACTAGTCAAGAGGCCGCCGGCGAGAAAGAGGATCATGAGTCGTAATTTGAGTGCTTAAGGTAATGATCCTTTTCCACGTTTTTTTTATTCTTGTTTTTTATTTTGCTTTACGGTTTTAAGTTACTGCCATGTTTTCGCCCGATGGTTGAGTGCGCAAAGGAGTATTTTTTAAGTGCATATATGTAAGCTTAATTTTGTTTCATTTTGATGAAATATAATTAGTAGACAATGATTGGAAATTCCAGTTGTATTACATATGAGGGGCAGCATACTTCAAGCGATGGAGAGAAAAAAAAATAGGTTTCTTTTGTCTATGTATTTTAGTTAGTGGCTTAATTACTTGATGAGAAACGATATTTCGAGCTAGGATGAGGAGGGTGTATTGTAATGTAATAGACTGTACTTGACTAGAAACACGCCTCGAATTCTCAATCATTGGCTTTTGTGGATCCTTCCTGTTTGTGCAATTAAACCCCTTTGCAATT